TGCAGCAGCATTCGCTCGCTCACACAGAGCTGCAGCATGGGTGTGGCTCAAAATTTTCAGGGTATCCGGTTACCACGTAGCCTTAGGGCACATTGCAGCAATGCCTTTTCACAGGGTGTTCTGATTGTTTACTTCATAATAAAATCCATCCGTCGATTTTGGGTTTCGTGTTCAGCCGTCCGTTGGGCTCGGGCCCGACCCGTCGCTCCGATTGACTCGGCGACGAGCGACGGGAGGCGATCTCCGTGGGTTTTGACCCCGTTTAGACAGCCCCGGTCGTTCAGCACGTGTTGCCTCCACCGCCGCTGCTGCTGCTGCTACGTTGGCAGCTCAGCCCCCCCCCCCCCCCCCAGCACTGTATAGGTAAACACGGAGTGCGGATTATTCGCCGTCTGGACACGCCTTCCGAGGGACGAGCCGTAGAGAAGCGGCTTACATAATGCGCCGTCGCCTGCAAGGTCATCGTAAAAACAACGGCGCACGCCAGTGCACGTTGCGTAATGAGCGCGCCGAGCTACCGCACGGGCCTCTGTTTCGCTTTAGAGACAAACCGCAGGGCCCCCCCTCCCTACCGTCTGTGGAGCGGGCATCGAGCCAACGCCAATGTCGGTTTTTCTAAAGCCAGCGAAGGAAAGAGTTCTTCGAGAAAACGAATAATTGACTCGTCGGGTTGTAATTGGAATTTACTGCTGTGTGTTTTTAATCCCATCCAGGGCGAGGTCAAATGACATTACTACACCCCGAGTTATCTTTTTTACAAAATAAAATAACTGCGCGCATTCAACTGACATAGATGAGAGACAATGACCATCAAAACGCGGTGGACTATGCCAGACATGGAGGTTGTTTGACCATACTTCTCCACGCTGGTCAAATGCGGGTTGGTGAAGTGGAGTCGGCTAGTTGAGAGATATCCCCTAGCCACCGATGTTAGCCGTGTCTGGGAATCGAACTCGGGTCATTGGGCTTCATAACACGCCGCGCTAACCCACTCTGCCACCACCGCATCCCAATAAATACCATGACAAAAAGTCAAACAAATGGGACTGATCGGTGTTGAAAGTGGTACATTCACAATGACCAAGCAGTGAGTCCAGGCGCCCACTAAGACTGGAAGCACTGCTGCAATAGCCTTTGCACAATGCGTGGATTTAGTTGTGGATTGAAACAAACCGGTACCGCTCAACACACAACAACGACAACAACAGAAACACCCGCGGAGCGGCGGTGTGCCCCTTCCTGCTGCTCTATTGTGACCAAGCACACACCTTTGTGTGTTGATGAATGTGAAACGTTTTTCCAGCCTTGCTCACGTGTTCTTGTTGTTGGTGGGCTTTCTCGTCATTTACACAACACTGTTGGATTTGAATAACCACCACACACCCGCCCTTCGCCCCTTTCCCACTCCACCTCTTAGTGTTTTTACACGATAAAAAATGTAAGGAAATAACTTTGTATGTTCAATGAACACGGACAATAGACAGAAAGCACAAGAACACAACGAACGATATGTACACTTATTGTTTATTGCCTGTATGATTTATTAGCAATTTTCACGTATTTCAAACAAAAGTAAAGTGAATCAACTGTTTAAGGATTAAGCGGTGGCACAGTGGTTAGCGCACCGCACTGTGAACTCATCAACTCTATATTCTTGGTTCTTTCGGTAAAGTCACGTAGTTGGGAAGTAATAAAATAATATAAATATAAAAAATAAAAATTCTCACGACGTTTCGACTGCTGTGGATGTCACACCTGATGATGATTGCTTGTGTTGCAGTCGAAACGTCGTGATAATTTTTTTTATTGTTTTATATTTATGTTATTTTATTATTTCCCTTCTACGTGACTTTACCAAAAGAACCAAAAATATGAATCCCTGCACTCACGAAAGCTTTAAATCATCAACTCTAAATTTCGATTTAAAGCTTTCGTGACTGCAGGGATTCATCTTCTTGGTTCTTTCGGTAAAGTCACGTAGAAGGGAAGTAATAAAATAATAAAAATAAAACATAATAAAACAATTCTCACGACGTTTCGGCCACAACGCAAGCAGCCGTCCTCAGGTGAAAACCAGGTCCGTCAGACTCTGTCGCCTCGACGGACCTGGTTTTCACCTGAGGACGGCTGCTTGCGTTGTGGCCGAAACGTCGTGAGAATTGTTTTATTATGTTTTATTTTTATTATTTTATTACTTCCCTTCATCAACTCTAGTTCTGTTCCCTGGGCCAAGGCTGAGATTTGTTCAGAGTGATATCTGTACCGGTCCTGGGGGGGACCAACCTGCAGTGTCAGGTATGGTGAAGTATTGTCAAACAAGCCTCGTGATCAACGCAGTGTGGGAAAGCCTTTATCCAGCAGTGGATTGGCAAAAGGCTATGATTTATATACAGGCTCGGTGGTAATTTCTTAGTCAACGGTTCAAAAGCAACCACACACCTCTGATTATTAGCACGGTTGGCTACGTACGGTGCCCTGGCCAGCGCATGTTCTTTGGTGCAATGTCGACGAGATCAGGCGACCGAGTGTAACGCCACTAGAATCGGACACGATGCCCTGAAAGATAGCGCGCACACACCCACCCACACCCGCACACCTATGCGTACGCGTGCGTGCAATCGCGGTCCTTTGCGGACACACTTTGCCACCCGAGCCAGCTCCACACTGCCCAGTTCCCTTTGAAATGTGAACCGCAAAGGGCAGGTCACTAGAGCGCTCGCCCCGTGGAAAACTGGAGTCCAGATTGACCGTCGTGCGATGTGACGTGGTTTCCGTGGGGAGCTCCGTCATCATGGGGTAGTTGGATGGCGATCCGCTCTTTCTGAGATGGTTGTAAAGTCGATTTTTTTTAATGCACCCAGAAATCTGCTGCAGTGCAGCGATGAACCGTTTGGAATTTTCCACAATGCCTTTCCAGTCGAAATGACATGATGCATCTTCGGCAGAGAGGGGTTTATGGCCGGCGGGGAGTGGTGGAGCCAGCTGCCTCTGGCTTGCCCGTCTGCCAGAATCCACACTTGGCCTTCTTATTGAAGCTGCGAGTGGAACATTTTAATCATGTGTGAGCACGTTTGCTCACGTTTTTTGTACTTTTTTTTTCACCGTCCGCATTTCCTACCTAATTGCGTGTGCGCGTGCACGTGTGTGTTCGTACTAAATCACACCGCTTGAGTTCATTTTGAGGCTGTGTGTTTACATAAACATCCGCGGGATCTTCCGCACGGTAATGCAGGTGGAGGTGGAATTATGCAGGAACTGTAAATAATTGAACAAACTCAGCATCAATTACTTGAACAATTTTTGTAATTAGACTGGTGAAAAAAAAAACCCGACTGTTTACCTCAATTAACAAAGCTCCCCAGGAACTGTTAAAAGTATAACATCACTAATTTGAAACTGCTCTCAAGGAGGTCGAAGTGCTGCAGTAATTATATTTTACGATTTCACAAAACATTGCAGGCCCCTGTTTCTCAAACGCAACAAAGTTTTTTTTGCTACTTGGAAGAAGTCCAACCCGTGTGACCCTTTTGACATGTTGATGATGAATGTGAAAATTACTTGATGTCTCTCCTGCGGAGTGCAGTCATGTTTACTTTGATTACTTGGAGATCTTTTTATATGTGGGCGTATAATTATTTTTAAAATAGAAATGAAACCGTACAGCATTCGGGAAATATCCCAAATCTTTTGCTATATTATTGTTATGATGATGATGATAAATTCCCAAACCTGGTCTGAGTAAAAAAATTGTTTGGTTATGCATTCACAGTTTGTCACCGTTGTAATGTGATTTAACAATACTATTTTGGGCTTAAATTTTTTTTTATGTGTCTATACTGTCACTGCTTTAACTCTGAGGGCCCTCTGCCTTTGGCACAAGTATCCTTGTTCAGGTTCATTTCACAAACATTCTGTACGTCATGACATTGTCTCAAGGTAATTTGAGATCATCCGCATTCAATGAAACGTGTCACTTGTTCAGTGGCATCTGAGTGATGGATGTTGAACTTATTGTGTGCCGTATGTATCCAATCGGAAGTGCGGGGAAGGACAAATTATGTTGCCATTGTGCCATCTGTCTGTCTTCAAAGTAACGGATCCAAGGCATGTAGTGTTGCATGGTTTCATCCGTTACAATCTCATGTCTTGTTTATGATACATGTACGTTTAAGAACCAGTTTATCATTCGTGCGATTTACGGGACTACATAGTAGGCAGCAGAGGGCAGTGCAGAACATTCCATTGTTGTACTGCACTTCCACGCTTCCACATGTCTGCTCTCCACCTTCATCAACCCGCTCACCAGCGTGGTGAGGTTCAAATAGGCCACTTGGTCAGTACGGCATGGGAGAGCCCTCATCCAGCAGTGGATTGACAAAAGATCTGTACGTGCACATGTGTGCATACACAGTCAAATGCTTTAGCGACCGTCTCGGTGCCCGTTGTCATGTTGGGTCCATTTTTATTTGTAACAGTTGTTGAGCTAAGACGCAAAAGGAAAAAGCCTCTAGCAGCCAGCAACAAACAACAAGATCAATGTTGTGTGTATATATAATGTATACGAGTTGACACGCTTCTTGACGTGATCAAAGTTCTCAGAGCTTGGGGAAAGTAGCTATGGGAGGGAATTCCAGATTTGGAGCAGTGTAAGGGCAGAATCCGAAAGAGAAGTGTTTTTTGACCTGCAGTACGGTGATCGAACACGCGTTTGTGGGCGAGCTGAAACGGTCGGTCTCATAGACGATACCCTCAACATCGGCGGAGGAATCGATTGGTGAAGTTCACGGGGAAGAGTAAACCACGGTTTTAGCGATAGACGAGTGATGAGGAGACGAAAGGCCACCTATGGGCGAGTGACTGGAGTGAATTATCGAGTTCTGTCTCATCAATGAAACCGGACTGCTTTTACTCAGAATTTCAGTTGAGGTCCGTGGGAAGTGAAAGCGGTTATTTTACCATTGGCGTCGTCGTTGTTACCCCGCCCCATCCCTCTCCCGCAGGATCGCTGCACTCGCGAGAACTGCAAGTACCTGCACCCACCGGCACACCTCAAGACGCAGCTCGAGATCAATGGGCGCAACAACCTGATCCAGCAGAAGAATGCCGCCATGCTGGCGCACCAGATGCAGTTTGCGGCCGTGGCCGGGGTGCTGCCTGGCTCGCAGCTCCCACCTGTGGTGAGTCCTCGGCGAATGGAACACCGCCGTGCAGTACATCGCCGCGTCTCATTAGTCGGTTTCGGCTCTCGCCAGAACGCCTCCTATCCTTCATGCAACTCCCTACGGGTCACAGCCACAATTCCGTACGGGCTACAGCAGCATTCCATACGGACCACCGCAGCAATTCCCTATGCACCTCAGGAACAGCTCCCAACGGGCCACAGGACGCGTGCAGGGAATTGCATATATCAGAAATATGATGAGTCGTGCAGTCCTAAAATCCCAAAATAGAACCACAGAGCTTTGGCAAATGTTGGTGCCGGTTCTGGCAGCCTTTCCGCTTGTGTGGTTCCCGCGGTGGAGCGTAGCTTAATCAATCTCATGCGTGTCCTAGTGATGGTTATTATGGGTAAAAAGACGCAGTTTTGACGCGGAGGAACATTAGCTCTGGCTGGGGTAGAATGCCAAGCGGGGTGGTTTTACGTAAGAAAGACGGAGAGGAATAATCTGCGAGTGCCAGTGTCCGCGTAGTTGATGATGGTATTCCTGGTGGGCGACTGCTCCCCCCACCCCTCCTCCAGCAGCAGAGATAAAACACAATATCACGTGTAGAGCTGACCTTGTCACGTGACGTATCATGTGACCTCGCCTATGCCGCCCCCGCCACTTTTTCAGTGTGGTTTATCACGCGCAGGGCACAGCTTAGACTCGACGTCAAAGGTCACATTTACGTAAGTTTATAGTTCCTGTTAAAGTCCCATTGAATGTTCATCATTGTGTGTTACATAGTACAGAATTAGTGTTGTGACTATTAAATGGAATTCAGTTGTTGATTTCATATAGAACATGTATTCTTTGTGTGTCAAGTGTCGCCCCCTAGTGTGCCATTCCTCGGCTACAGCATCCCGTTGCTTGTCCATGCTGCTGTTAGCACAAGTAATATAAGCACGTTAAGCTAAAACTGTAGGCTTAATAAAATCATGCATTCTATTTGAACAGACTATTATTGCGCAAAGTATTACATTAGGTTTGGAACAGATAGGGGAAGGGGAGCAGAGGGAATTATTTTAATTCACTGTTTAATTTTATTAGTGAACAATATGCATGAATAATACGTACGTTGTTCTGTTATAATAAGTCAATTGACTCCTACCCCCTGTCCATAGGGGTTTTCAGTGGGGGGGGGGGGGGGGGGGGGGGGCTGGTGGGGGTTAGGATTGAGTCTTTTGTCCACCCCTCCCAGTCTGCCAAGTTTGGAGGAAAATAACAATCCCCTCTACTCCCTCAGCAGTGGCACCATCTATACAGCACTGGTGGGGAGGACTGTGGGAGGCCTCCGACAAAACTGTGGAACCTCTCTGCCCGTAACCCTGCGCTAGCGGTAGGGAGCGGGGGGAGGGGTGCAACGACGGGAGAGGAAAAAGTGTGTGCCTGTCTGTGTGTGTCTGACGTGGCGAGTGGTGGCGCGGCGGTTCGCGTGCTGCGCTACGAACCTTGGGGCCCGTGTTCGATTCCCGGTCACGGTGAGATCCGGCGGTGGTTTTCCGTACCAGGCCTGGGCCGCTCCCGTGGGTTTGACTGAACGCTTATAATGACTACCTGGTGCGGTGTGTAAACATCAGCACTGGGGAGATAAAGGTGGCAGGGTGGGGTGCTGGCCACAACCTCGTCTTGTGCGTGCATCATCGTCATGCTCGTAATCATGTAATATTTATACTGTGCCTCCCATGCAGTACACCGTGGCCTTCAGAGGCACTTGGGCTCTACACGGGTAATCAAATAATTAAAGATAAAGATCATGAGAAAAAGAAGCACTTGCTTCAACAGCTCGTGTAGGCTACGCGGGGGGGAGAGGGGGGAGATGCTTGTCTTTGCGTGCGTGGGCGTCGGAGGGGAAACGCCGATGCCTTGCAAAAGTTTGGAAAGCGACAGCGACTTGCGACAGTACGTGCGGCGAGCCACACGTCAGCGCGCCCGCCTGTCAGCAGGGAATGAGGGGGGGGGATGCCCGTGGCCCTACAGCCGTGACTAATTGGCGTGGATCGCCAGCGGGTTGACCAAAAATGCGCGCACCCTAGACACAGCCTCAGTGGGGGGGCAGTGTTGTGGGTGGCACGGCCGCTGGTGGTGGGGTGGCGGCGGCCTTGTGGCACGTGGTGGGGGGTGGTGGGGAGGCGCTCGTCCTCTTAACAGAGCGGAGGAGACCTCTGGGCGAGTCTCATACGTCCCCCTTCCCACCATAATGGAGGACCTGAGGAGAAAACAAATTTACTCGCTGCTTTGTCATTTTTTTTGTAAAATAGCAAAGATAAAATAATAAAAATCAATGTTTTCTTCGATAATTGGTTTTTTACCCTTCCATCTGGCAACAAAACTGACACCTTTTTTTACAAGGAGTCATGTTTGCATAGACCACAATACTTGCAGTCATAATGCAAACAAAAAACACAACTCTGATAATGTGCACTGTCCTTGAAGTTGATTGGTCCACACCCGAGACAGCTTTCCTTAGAGCCTAGTCTCACATGGGTTGGACCAGATGACGCCAAAAGGCGCACAAAAAAAGGTGTCAGTTTTGTTGCCAGATGGAAGGGTAAAAACCAATTATCATATTTTTTACTGGCAAATGAGGTTCCAATGGAATAAAAATCCTCCTGTCTTAATGCAGGGACTGTCAACGTTTAATGCTGCCTTGTAACCGGTCACACACACTTAGCCCCAACTTTTTTGACGGCGTACGCTCGCTTCTTAATGGGCGCCTTCGTTAATACAGGAGAAGCCCCTCTTACCGACGGTAATTGGTTCCACGAAACCGGCCGTTAAGTGATTTTGTTGTCAAGCGAGTATAGGAAATCCACGTTAAAGGCTTTATTTGCTTCGATCGCATCGAAATTTACCCTTTTTCACCAAAAGAACATACATTATAATATTTAAACAATGGATATTAATACATAAAGATACTAACAACATTATAAACACATAATATGGGGAATGGTTGGAAAGCAAACACGTTGAGCTCTTTGGAGGCCCATCCTTAAGCGATTATGCGTTAAGAGGGGTTCTCCTGTAAGTGTTTCATGCTCACTTGTGTGTGTGGCTGTTTTTACTCGCAGAACCTTGAATGTTTAACACGTAGGCTTTCGCGACCAATGTTATTCATAATCAACGATTTTTGGGTTTAGATCGCGTTTATTTATAAATGTGTCGTAACCCTCCACCACCCGACACGGCCAATCAGTAAAAAATGTGTCACGTTGACAAAGACAAATAGTTCACTGCTTCAACACACCGGTGGGCTAAAGCAGTGAACTATTTGTCTTTGTCAACGTGACACATTTTTTACTGATTGGCCGTGTCGGGTGGTGGAGGGTTACGACACATTTATAAATAAACGCGATCTAAACCCAAAAATCGTTGATTATGAAGAACCTTGAATCATCGGGCGGTAGCGGTGTGGGGGCAGGGGGTTGGGGAGAGTGGGGGGGCGGCCAGGTGGCGGGTGGGGGTTTAGGGGGGTCAGGTTATTCTTACAGAACTCACCAGCATAGACATTAGAACACCACTCCAGTGCCCAGAACTCATCTTGTGCATTCTTACTCTTTGCGTATGTATTAAGTGAACATACACATCGAGTCATAGGGGCTCTGGTTTATTTTAACTAAACAATCTTAGTATTTTATCAGGTGAGGTCCACTGAGCTATACAGGTGTTTTTCAGAAGCGACCTGGCCACAAATGATAGCTTACCGAAGTGGTTTATCATGTGTGAATGTATAGCAGCCAAATACTCTTAAACGCACGTTGATTCTAAATGTGGAGGGAAAAACCGGAGGACCCGCAGAAAGATCCACGCGACCACGAGGGGAGAGAGAGAGAGAAATGTTACGGTTGGGATCAAACCCACGACCTCCTGCATATCAGGCGAGGTAGGTTAACAGCTTCGAGCCACCGTGGCTCCCCTCTGCCCCTGCCCCAACTAGCGGTGTGGGGGGTTTCAGGGGCCGTATTTGCACGAGGCTCTCACTTACGCAAGCACCATCTGCTCAAGTTGAGGTTGAACTTCTCTCGAGACCCAGTCGCTCTAGAGGTGCTCTGTGGATGATAATGCATTTACTGTGTAATACGCAATGTCGTTTAGGGCTTTTTTTAAAATCAGTTATCACTGCTGGATGAAGGCCTCCTCCACACGTTCTAATCATGGTGGTTGTTTGACCATACTTCACCATGCTGGCCAGTGCGAGTTGGTTAGTTCAGGTAATTTTTACCATCGGTGTTAGCCGTGGCCAGGGATTAAACTCAGGTGGCCGGGTTCGTAACGCAGTTCACTAACCCACCACGCGCCACCGCTTTGCATGGCCAGTGCGAATGTCAGCCACTGGAATAATTTTTAGAAGACAAATTTGTTTTGCCCTGAAATCGTTCCCTCACCAAAATGAAATAACTGTCCACTGACCCATGAGCCTTCGAGAGGGTTGTTTCCCAGTAGCGTGCATTGATTTAAGCAAGGAAACCGCTGGACTGGTTTGACTTTCTCTTGATTGAATCTTCTTGTTTGAGTAAATATAAATATGATTGAGTTTTCTCACTTTATTTGGTTACGTGGCTTCTCTAACAATTTAAAGCAACCATAACGACTGCCATGCGGTGGACACCTCTGTGAGCAGCGGATGTGTGCCCTCTCTTGCGCGGACAAAAGAGATCACGTGAACGGATTTTAAAAGATGTTTTGCGATATCTGCTTCCGCGGGCTGTTCTTTAACACGGGCCAATGCAGTCTTGTGAGCGTTCCAAACACACGTTCCATCCCCTAAATCTGAGAGCGCAATTTTAAATAAATGGCGCAAACGGTGTGCGCGTACCCCCAGCGGGCGAGCACATGTTCGTGCATGTTTGTGCATGCATGTGCAAGCATGCTTACGTGTGTGCGCGCGCGTGTGCGTTTGCAGGGAGCATTGCCGCAGCTGTTTAGCGCATTGTGTTGCCTACCCGACGACCCGAGTTTTATTCCCGTTCACAGCCAACACCAGCGATTATCTGAACCGGTCCTGGACCTCCCCCATGTCGACTCGGCCTCAAATGAGTACCTGTTGCGGTGCGTAAACATCGCCACAGGGTAGACAAAGGCAGCCGGGCGTGGTGCTGGCCACCCACCCCCTCGTGTACCGTAACAGCCTTAATAATAGGTGTGCTACTCGCTAACAGCATTTGCCACGACAGTCTTTTAAAGGCTATGGGGGTGTGAAATGTTTGCGCACATCAGATGCAGATGTTCCCGGTGTCGCCGGGGCTTCCGACGACTCAGTCCGCGGCCTCGTCGCCCTTCAACCCCTACTTGGCGCCCGTGTCTCCGGCCATGAGCCTCGTGTCGGCCACCGACCTGTCGCTGGGAAACCCCGTGCTGCTGTCGGGCAGTCCCACGGTCCCCAGCGGGCCCGTCCACTCGGGGCCCTCCAACCAGGCGCAGCAGGCCAGCGGGAGCAAGTTGGTGCGCGCCGACCGCCTCGAGGTGAGGGAGGGCGCCACGGTCTGCGGGTGGTCGCTTCTGAAAAATAAGTTAATTCCTCGGTGGGCTTTGCCTGGTGGGATGGGGTGGGCGGGGGTGATTTAGTTTCATTGGTATGTTTTTGAATGATTTGTATGCCTTTGCTGTGCCTTGAACTGCAGGTCATGTTTTTAATGTTTTGTTTGTTACATTCTTACTGGACATCTGTCAAAAAGAGCCTTATAGCTCATCGGATTCCTCCAGTATGAATAAATATTCTGATGACCGTGTGGTCATAGCCATTGTCATCACCATGCTCTTGCTACTTTTGTTTCATTGGAAATTTTGCTCAAATTCGCCTCTGACCAAATGACCCAGGGTGCACCTCAGTTTTGCACGTTGGCGTCCGTACCTCTTCGTATCCGTATAACACGTAGTAGTAGGCTTGTGTGACCAATATCCATAGAGGTGATTTTTGGGTTAGATCGCGTACATTTAAATGCGTCGTTAAACCCGCCACCACCCGACACGGCCAAATAGTAAGGTTTGTCACGTAAACAGAACGTGCCGATTCGCTACTAGTAACGCACACCGCTGTGTTGAAGAGTACTGAAATGGTGTGCTGGAGAGTACGTGAATTGTACTCTACAACACTTGTGGGTTTACTCTCCAACACACCGATGTGCGGTTATAGTAACGAATTGGCACTTTTTGTTTATGTGACAAACCTTACTAATTGGCTGCGTCGGGTGGTGGCGGGTTTAACGACACATTTATACGTCTTTGTATCCATCGGTTACATTCGTTTCTATCCTTGCGGATGGCAACACGTTTAGGAGCTAAATGCCAATTGTTTACATTCACAATACCCCATGGGCCATTGCCTACGGGCGACGTTTAGAATTTATAAGAAGTCCTGCGCACTGACCCCGGCTCACTTAAAAATAGTTTTTAAAATGAGCCCAGACTTGGCTGTGATAGTCGACCATCATACATGTCAGGTTGCCATAGGCAGCTGTGCTAAGTGGTGGTCAGGAGTGCAGAAAATCCTTTGTTGTACTGCAATTATATGCTCCCACGTGTGTGCTCTTCACCTTCATTTTAGCAATGTGGTGAAGTATGGTCAAATAACCCCCATGAACGCCCCCCCCATGGCGTGGGAAAGCCCTTATCCGGCAGTGAGTTGACAAAAGGGCTGTACATTGTCCCCGTGTTTAAAATTCATGCACCTTCTGGCTCTGGAGGCAATTCAGCAGTGAGAATCCACCGTTGGGGCTGCATTGGGGTCATATTTTGTTGAGAGGGCCAATGAATTGAATTGAGTTTTTTTACAGTTTGTGCTTACAGAGAGAACAATTTCGAACGGTAAAATATTCCATTTCTACGCGGACATTTCCCACGCGGCGGTGTCATCTGACGGGGCTGAATCGCAGCTTGGGATGAGCGCGTTGCCCAGCCGCTAATTACCGAAGCGCTCGGTGCGCTGCTCCGTAAAGGTGTCTGTGTTACGCGTACGCGTGACACGGTCAGTAATTGAGCAGGGGCACACCCTGGCCTGACGTCATCGCCTGGGTTCATCGTTGTCGGTCGCTCTACCTCGGCGTTGGCTTGTTGCGAAGAGATCCTGGGGTCGGGGGTCGGGGAGGGGGGACTGGGTATCTTCAGCCACACGGGCTCCGTCGTTCATTTGTCGTCACCATTTAAGTTTGCCGTTTGCTAAAATATGTTCACGGTGGGGGGGGGAGATATCTTTTTATTTTTTCAACGTCCGTTTATTTGCAAAGACATGGTCATTGAGCGTGTTGTCTTTCAACCCCCGCAGCAATCGATTGAATTGACACGATTCAGGGTCACGATTTGATGCGGTAACTTTATCAATTTAGGTTCACGGTGGTTTGTGTTGTACTGCATCCTGCTTTTGTCCATCTCGCTTTGTACAGCTTCACGCAATCACTTAATTTGCCACATTACCACGTAATGTCCGTATCTTTGCCACAAATAGCAAATGATTAACCTTTGTGCACGTGATCCGTACGCATGAATCGCGAGCGTAGAAATCGAATTTAATTGGTGAATCGATGCATCATTACATGCTTCTAGTTCACGTTCACAGCATTTAATCGTTGGTTGCTTTATTTTTTTTCGACGACGGCTCACATTAGACTCCTTGCACAACTCGCAATGGCCGTGGCACGCGCCCTAGATTATGGTTCACTCGCCTAATGGTCTACGGTTGTTAATATTTGCTGGCGCGGCGCTTGTTTGTGAGCCTCTGCTTTCACGACAGGAGCTGGCGGGGTGGGGGAATGGGGGCGCATCTTTGGGACGACACCCAGTCAAGGGGCGTGGGGGCGCTCGCAATGTTCTATCGCCAGCGTTATTTTCGTCTCCGGCAAACATAACATTGGGTCTCGGCGGGCTGTGGGCTTATGCTGGTGTAGTTAGATGGCCATTAAGTTGATTGACTGAGCCTTCTTTGTCGGCCTAGGCGAGGGATTCTCTCCCCCTCCTCATGTAGGAAAGTGTGCCACGGCTGAAATGTACCGCTGTTTGGAGCGCGCTCGTTTAATTAAATAGTTTTTAATTAACTTTTTTCGTTGAATAGTCACGTTGGAGGTTTGTTTTCTCTTCCCATTTGAGCAAACCTTCTTTGTCGTATAACGGTAACACTTGCACACTTGCGAGAGGTGGCTTCTGTAGGCCTTGTGTCTAATTTTCACCACGGTGGTGAGATGTTAACTCCCTCGCCTGTTATACAGGAGGACGTGGGTTCGACCCCGACCCTCACGCCTGTTGTTTGTTTGGAGTTTGCATGTTCTCTCCGTGGTCGCGTGGATGAATTTTCCTCTGGTTTTTACCGCCACATGTATAATCAATATGCTATTCGATTATTTGCCTGCTATAAATGTCTACGGGATAAGCCACTTCGTTGAGTTATCATTTGTGGCCAGGTCGCTTTTGAAAAACAGCTATACACCTTAGTGGGCCTTACCTGGTATATAATAAGTTTTTTAAATCTTTTATATTTTCCATTTGCATTGGTGTTACCTCTCTGCTTCCTTCCATTTCTGCTCTGGAGCCAGACCATGAATCTGATAAAACCTCACAGTAAGCACCGGCTTTAATGTCAAGTGATTGTCAACCAATCTCCAACATCTACATACCCACTGGGTTGGCGTGTACATATACACGTGTCACCCATTTGTCAGTCTACTTCTAGATGAGGTCTTACCTGCGCAAGCTGGGGGGTGGGGGGGGGGGACCATGCTTCACCCTGCTGCTCAGTGTGGGTTTGTTAAGGCGGGGAGCATAGCAGTCTATTTTGTAGCCCCGCAGGTGGCATGCTCATAAAAAATAGTGAACCTGTACGACCGGAAGAGAGGAAAGAAAAAGTGGCTGCAATTCCCGAGAGCCCAGTGATGGTTACTGGCCTCTGCGTGTGCGTCCACACTGCCTCTGCGTGCGTGCGTGTGTGCGTGCGAGCGAGCTTGGTGTGTGCTTGCTGAGAGGGTCTTGGCGATCATTGCCGTGTGACCCAACTGCTGAGTACGTGTAATACGATTGAGGGGATCGGCGCCCGCACGCGCCAAATTTAGGCGGCAAGTGGCACTGAGCACCTCATTACTCTTGCCACCTGGCTGCTTACGCCGCGATAACCTTTCAGAGCTGTATGGGTAACCTTTAATTACTCTACCCCCTGTTGGCGGGCCTGGCTAGCTATAAAAGCATGAAAGCAATTAATAGTACATGTTTTCCGAGATGATCCGTTGTGTTTGTATATGTGTGTGCGCGCGTGTGTGGCTAATGTTAGGTAGCGACGATGCTGTGGGTCTAGCTTGCGGCGTTCCGGACTCGTTGACCTGAGTTTGAATCTGACGCATGGGGTCACTTGGGAGATGTCGCCAGCTGGAAGAAGTGGTGGTGATCACATGACCCCCCCCCGCCCCATTTTTGATTTATTCGCGGTGACTCTGAGGAGGCCCCAAAAAACACCCAGAGGCTCGCAACGCGCAGCAACCGTGCAAAAGATAAGCGTCGATATGTTCTTGAATTTTGCAAGGTTATAAGAACGTTAGCAAAAATGACAATTCCAAAGTTGACCAATGTGTGGATTGAAGTGGACCAAAGAGTCTTGATCTGTGGTATGGTGGTTGAAGATGAAACGGGATGGACGAGATGAAACAGCCCATCTGATAAACAACCGATCTGAGCAGAAGAATCGATGATTGAGTTAAGTTCATGCGACTTGTGCGCTGTTCTGGCTTTAATCGGTGCTCACAGACAGTACTCCAGAGGATGTTTGAGAAATGTATTTGTCTTTGAGTGGCTACGAATTATCAGTGGAATTCAAAATGGAATCCGACAACGCTCACTTTTTCCTTTCCCAGAAATGCCCAGTGATTTTTCTTTTCTCTCGATTGTGTGGCAGTCTCAGTCCAAATTCCAAATCGACTGCAACGGAGCTGCAAAATTTACCACATTCAGGCCTGGCGATTTGACACCGTCGCCTGCCATGGATGACCCAGCTCACCCCCAGCCGGCTGGAGGGCTGTGAGACTGGGTCGCGAAAATGCAGTGTATAAATACCACGGCGGTGATAGGAAAACACCGGCGCGCTGCTTAGGCCACACACAAGAAATGTGCGGCAGCAGCACAAGTGCCGTCGTGCACGTCACCCATGGGTTATGTGCACACGAAGATATCTGATAAGCCAGCTAAGAGAACAAAGCACAAAAATTAATGCGCTTTTCACTGCCGCCCTCTCTAACGAGGCGGTGGAGGCGAGCGACGTTACCCCGCCAGACCCCCGAGCTAAACTCGCCTCACCACCCATCTTCCCCTTCACGTTCACCCACTTGGTGGTGTTGACAAACATCAGCCAACACCGGCTTGGAGAATTAGCTATCCCCCCCCCCCCCCGTGTAAAGGGGCAGAGAGCAAACTAGAACAATTAATATTTTCGGTAAGGCCCCACTGAGCTATCCAGCTCTTTTTCGGAAGTGACTTGTCCGCAAACGATAGTTCAACAAAGTGGATTATCACGTGGACATTTATAGCAGCCAAATACTCTAAACGCGCGATGTTGATTCTAAATGTGGAGGGGAAAACCCGGAGGACCCGGAGAAAAATCCACGCGACCCGTGGGGATAGAGACACGCAAACTCCAAATATACAGCAGGTGTCAGGGTCGGGCTCGAGACCACGACCGCCTGTATACAATGCGAGGCAGTTAACATCTTGCCACGACGGCGTTCGCCTCCTCGCGGGAGCGGTCGTGGCCCGATTCTTGGCCCACGTCACCTTTTCACAGTGACTTTCGTTCCCGCCTTGCTGCCGACACGAAAGCGTCGCTGCTTGAGCCGTCCTTGCTCTCGACCGCTGTTTTGTCTACGATGGCAGCCGCAGTAAATTAAGAGCGAGAGGTGTTTTTATTATGATGATATTTATTTATTATAATAATAATATATATTTTCTACTAACGTGACAGCAACGGCGGTGCGGGGTTGTAGCCTTCGCGTGTCACGTTCGCAATGCACGCCGGCTCGTTTTAAGAAAAGACGTGTTTGCGTGCTCACCGCGTGGGGAGAGGTGGTTGTATGTTCACTAGCCGAGCGCCCGTGGCAGGGAAGGGGAGGCAGAGGCATGGGGGGGAGGGTGATTTGCAGTACCAGGCTCGGCAGTCTCACGGGGTTGCCAAATGCTATGTGTGGTTGTGCTGCGAGCTCCCAGCTCGCCGTGAAAGGGCAGGGTGCATTTCGCATGTTACGTTTATGTCTATAGCCTACCGTTTGGCACCTGTTTATCACAAACACCACATGCGGACATTGGAGGGGATTTATTATCGGTTGGCACAGCCGGCGGGTAATGAGAAAAAGAAAGCACGTGAATCATTGAGATGTCGTGGGAATTTTTGTAGTGGTTTTTTAAAATTTGTTTGAGAGATTTTGTTTAAAAAAAAAAGTTTGTCGGTGGCACGGTGGGGCGGCGACGGGAGCGCATCGGTTAGCGCAACCCCTCCGTGAGCATCAAAATCCCATCGCCATGTTTGATGACTAAATGCGGAGTTGGGGAAAATGTTCATCCAACCATGATGCTCATTGTGCACATGAATCGGCCCCTTTTGTCAATCCACTGCTGGAAGAGAGCCGGTCCTCGCTGTGCGAGTTTTGGGGGTTCTTCAACCATACTTCGCTACGCTTGTCAGTGCGGGGTGGGTGAAGGCTGGCAGCATATATGTGTCAACGTAGAAGTACAGTACAGCAACAGATTTAGCCTGATTGTTGCCCACCATCACCTAGTCCCACATGAGCCTATAAAAACCTGTTTTATGCATGTGGTGGTCACTCATCCAAGCACAATCCAGGCTCAACCCCACGTAGCTTCTGAACTTTGAGGAAATCGGGTGTATTCCAGGTGATTTTGTGACGGGCTGACGGGCTCTTCCACTTGCTTGTCAACGAGACTGACGATCGATTTGAGCGAGCGAGCGAACGCGCCGATTTAAACCCCTCCGGCATTGCGCTCCGTTCCCCCCGGGGTGGTGGTGTGGCGGTGTCCCGCAGGTGTGCCGCGAGTTCCAGCGCGGCAACTGCAGCCGCGGGGAGAGCGAGTGCCGCTTCGCGCACCCGGCCGAGAGCACGGCGGTGGACTCGGCGGACAACACGGTGACCGTGTGCATGGACCACGTGAAGGGCCGCTGCTCGCGCGACAAGTGCAAGTACTTCCACCCGCCGCTGCACCTGCAGGCGAAGCTCAAGGCCAGCCAGCAGGCAGCGCAGCAGCACCAGCATCAGCACCAGCACCAGGCGGCGGCGGCCGCGGCTCAGGCAGCCGCAGCGGCGATGGTGAGTGCTTTCTTTTCCTCCTCCTCCCTCCTCCTCGCTGTCTTTCTCGTCCTCCTCGACCTCCTCGACCAGCACGTCGTCACCGAAAGCGCGGACGTGGGCCGCCGGGGGGAGCCAAGCGGATGCACGGCGGAGCTCCGGCAGCGGTCGTTCGATGTGGTCACGTTGCAGCTTTCGCGTTGGGCGTGAGACGCCGTGTTAAAAAGTCTCCGAATGCGACATTTTTACAGTGAACATGAGGATTGGCGGGTATTGGCATTATGAATGGCATTATGAATGGCAAGTAGCGCGTTCTTTGGGATTCGGTGTTTATATTGTTTGAAAATGTATCTTGCGAAGTATAAGAAACATACACAACAGCCTTATGCATCTAGTAATCGCAATTCACAAGTTTGACAATGCTTTGTCGACAATTGGCGGTTGATATGCATAGCTTTGTGCGCGCACAGTACGAGTAGCACATGATGTGGACCATGCGGGGTTGTTTGACTGCTTCACTACCCTAGTCAATGCAGTTGTTAGTTAGTGGGGGCCGTTAGCTTCTTCAGATATAACTCGTCAGTGATGTTATTACTCCCGGCCGGGAATCGAACTCTGCTCCACCGCCCATGTGCTGTTTGTATGTAAAATTATTATGAGAAGACTTAAAGGCTCTTTTTTTATTGTGCACTTGCTAATTTTCGTATAATCTTTCATACAAACTCATTTTAGTTTTTAAATGTGCAGTTTTATGTCAGTGTAAATAAATACTAATTAGAAGTATATGAATAATTGGTCTAAATTAATAATTGGTACAAATGTTTGGCATAACAAATGACCACATTTGTGAGATGCAATTTTGTATGGACGCTATATTAAAAATGAATTACTGTTATTAATTATTCTTGAGTAATTTCTTTAGGTGACCACAACAACATGATCCTGGCCACTAGGCGGCCTTCCATTGATAGCAATTATAACAATTCATTTCGTGGAACTGTTCCGACAGATTTTTTACTGGTAGGAGCCACCTGGTTCCACCAGCCCACAGGGGATTATTGTGTCCGTCCGTCGTGCATCCAAAAATAGGAGTGGCTGGGTGGAGAGGGGTCGGGTGGGGAGGGGTCGGGTGGGGAGGGGCTGGGTGAGGAGGGTGGGGCTGGGTGGGGAGGGGCTGGTCACCCCGTGGTGCCCTTATAAAACTCAACGTTTAACCTACTCACGCCGGCTTGTGCCCGCCCTCACAGTCGGGCATATTTGTGGAATACACCACGCCGCCGTTGACCCTGGCCATTGACCGAGCAACCCAACGTTCCTACCAGCTCCCTCCGCAGGAATGTGTTTTTACTTTCACACCATTGTTTCATTAAAACCGTAGTCTTAGTATATCTGCAAAGTGGAAATCAGTTACTGCGTTAATAATGGCTCTTACCAATTGCCGTGGCTCATTTAACAGTCCACGGTGTAAATGATCGTCAAGACGTCTGCGAGTTCAATCAGAATCCGGGTGACAAGAAACACAAACGGATGGGCGTCGAGCGTACCAAAATCACTTCACGTTCTAAGTTTCCCTGCCACTTTTGAGCCCAGTTTGGTGGCATTTTAAAAGTGACATGGGCTGTACATGCGAGCGTGCACTATAATTTTAAATCAATCCCGTATATATATGTTGCTGTGATCTGTACAGCGTTTATTGCATCCTTGGATTGGTTAGAAATACAAACTTTAGCATTCAACTATATAAAAACCCGTCAAAACTTTTCATCCTTTCATGCAATACATATTTGCACTCGCAATTGTATGCACTTGTACTTGTGAACATTAATGTGGCACTGATGTATCACATGTTCAATGAAGTAGCCGGTGCTTCTATGAACGTGTTATTAAATTGGCTAAGATGCTGACCTGTCACCTGCCAGCTCACTAGCTAAAGTAGGTGCAACGTTTGAAGATGGATTATTCATACTCTCGTGGTCTAAATCAAGGGCTGCGGTATTCGGATGCAATGCTCGCTCGCTACTGAACCGGGGTTTAATTTCAGCCGGGGTCTGTTCGGATTGGTAACCCAGAAAATATTTCCTCACCCAGCACACCACATCTAGTATTCCTCTCGCGATGGCAGTGGCTGTCGTGAAAGGTGGCAAGCAGCTTGGGGGGGGTACCTTTATTCACCAATGGAATGATCATGGCTTGTTCAAAAGCTTTCTAAAAACAGATAGCAATGGCACGCAGGCTTGGCTCAAGCTCCTCATTTGCTTGAGAGACAGCGGCTTGAAGACACAGAAAAACAACAATAAGCCCAGAAGGCGAGGGTCAGGAGTGGTGATTACTGTGACGACCGGTGAAGCCGGATCTCAGGAGCTGTCCTGGGCCCACTGTGCATGTCATCTCTGTTGTGGTAATTTGTGTTGTTGTAAGGGTGTGTATCGTTGGTCTTGTTAAGTCACAAGCGAACTCTCTCGAACCAAACATAACCGTTAAAGATGCCGAAGGATCACTGCCTCTCTGCTCCTTGGGGACGGACCGCATGATGATCATGGCTGATGATGATGATGATAACTGTGGCTCCTAGTAGTGACACGCCACCCACTCCAATCTACCAGTGACCCTGAAAATATTTGGTGAGAAATTAAGCCCTGGGGACATGAGTGACTACGAGCCGCAAGCGTCGGTGACGAGCGCCGGCATGACTCAGAACAGATGTGCGGGGATCATGCGGGAGAGAGGAATCTGGCTGGAGAGACGAGAGTGAGTCACGCGCAGCGTGTCTCAAGGATCGAGAATATTCGTGGCGCTGCCGCCAATGCAGCAGCGGTGGCATACGCCCCCAAGAGGAGGCCTGCGCTCACAGCACGCCGAGCGGTTCAATAACAGGGCGCATATTTTCTTTTACACAGCGCCGCGTTAAGGCGGAAAAGCAGTCAAATTAGGCAGCCACTACCACCGCCACCCTACGTGCCATGTTTACAAATTATCGCGTGTTTTTTTTTTTCTTCAAATAAATATTGCACGCCGCGTATTTATTGGTTGCGCGAACATAAAGTTGAATATTAATGTGAATCAATATGAATGAAAAAGTCATGGTCAATGTCAAGAGGTGATCATCGCCGCTGATGTTGATGCTCCCTCGCCATTGCTTCCTTCCACCAGATCTTGCAGTTTTTTGCTCTTGTCAACCACCCAGTCTCCAAGGTCTGCTCCTACAGTGTCCCCCATTCTTCTTGGACACCCCTTTACATGCCGTTTTGAGCATTTGACAGTTATTTCGGGATTTTGTCGGCTTTTTCACAGCTGGTTTGGCTGTGGAATCTCATTAAACATTGGAGAAAACCAGTCTCATTCACCCAGCAAGAAATAAAATGCCAAAGTCTACAATGCATTGTCCTACTTGGCTTTCAATTGTCCTGGTATGTACAGTGGTTAAAACTAGTTATTCAAAGCGGCTTGCGCATGAGTGAGAATAGGGAGGTAGTTTACAGCTTTGGTTATTTGGCCAATTTGCTGAATACCGGAAGTTGTGAGAAGGGAATTAAGAGACAATTTGCATTATGTGTGTTGAACTTATTTTTGCACCGTATGTGGCCAAACCGCACTAATCAGAGGTGCGGGGGGAAAGACAACCAACTAAACACAAAAAGCAGTTTGAAAGAAGTGAGTTTACAATCTAGATTTAACAGGGTGAGATGATATGATCACATCAACTAATTTGAAAGAGGTCAATTCCACTGTTAATGTGTGCATCGGAGGCAAGGGTATTTATCGTTTTTGGTTAATATTTCGGTCAGAGAGATAGACTTCGAGAAACCCACTGGAAAGAAGCTGCCTGGCGAATGCACGTGCATGCGGAGGATGTGAAGAACTTAATGGGATGGAAGGGTTAGCAACTTCGAATTTCAGGGGTAGTGACGTGGCAACAAAAGTGCCTTCGACTTAATGAGGTGGAGAAAGAGGTTGTTGATGGGTGGAACACGTGTCCAGGGTGGAAGGAGGCGAACAAGTAACCCGAGACATTCATTCATCACGCATAGTCAGCAAAGGACCTTTGCGCCAATCGTGTCACCTCTTGCGACAGTATTGGCATACAATGCTCTTGCTGCTACACACCGGCGTTTCGACTGATTTGTTTGATTCACGGATTACGAGGGGAGGCGGAGACAGGGTTACCACACGGGCGGCCTCATTTCGTTGAGGGTTGCAGTCCTCGCTTTGAACGTCAACCAGTTACCGAGACGGCAGGCATTGGAGTGATACTCCGAGGAGGGAAAGCCGAAAAAGCCAGAGGGTGGGCATACTTTACGAGCGGACCTTTAAAGTTTGGTGGTGACTTAGCTACTAGGGGGTCAAGCGGTAGGTAGCAAGTGATGGTACGGTGACATGGACAACCTTGGCCACAATGACCTCAGCGTGAAGCTGGACATGAACCGCGCGGATGTGACGTGGGGCTATCGGTGTTGTTTACCAGCAATTGAAACGTGTTCATTGCGCCGGTGAAAGCCTTTGCATTCTAAATGCCGTTTGCCTGGTGCTTGCGTTTTGCGCAAAACTACGGCCCAGCAGCCATAGAGATTGTTCACCTTTGAAAAGTTTTGCACGGCACACCGCTGCATCTTCATGCTTTGTTTCGGAAGGTTTTGTTCCAAACGGCGGTGTGGTGAGGGCCCCTGTCTTTGTTCTGCCTTTGCTGGGCAATTTACTTTGAAAGACAACTTCGTGTGAGTTTTTTGTTACAAAGAGAAGTTGAGGCTTTCTCTCATTAATGCGTCGAAAAAGTGTTTTTTTTCATTTGCAACTCTTCTGTTGACGTGCAGCCATTACAACAACACAAATGACCACAAATATGGCATTTCACCAAAAATAAGCGTACATGAATTGATGTAATATGTAAAACTGAATTTTTTCAGCCCTTTGTCAATCCGCTGCTGGATGAAGGCCTCCCCCACAGCGTACTTCACCACGCTGGTTGGTGAAGGGAATGCCCAGAACCATTTCGGCATTACTCGCCGCCACTGATGTCCGGCATCTGGGGTTAAAGCGCAGTGCGTGAACCACTTCACCACTGCTCCCGCCATGTCTAAATAAATGACACATTTAAACCATAAAAAACACGTAACTTTCGGTAAAATTAGAATTTCACGTTTGAATTTAAATATATATTTAGTTTAAATGTATTTTTGTTACATTTTATCAATGCTGAAATTATATGTGAGTATATTTTAAAAAATTCGTCTGGCTGTGTGTTTTCACGCTTTCGAAAGATTATTTATTTTACTCAGACACTTTCAAGCATGCATCTTATGAAGCCGAAGTCGCTCGATTTACACGGGCAAGTGGATTAAAAAATGTATGAGGAGTATTTTTCACACTGGGTTAAAATGCAAGAGTTTGGTTTTTCATTGAGACTACCCCCCAGCCACAGAATACAAATGATTCTGTCTGGCAGACGTGGCTTCTAATTTATTTATTTCACAGCCTTTCTCTTATGTTTTGTCAAATAACGGAGAAAAGGCTCTCCTCCCTACAACACTTCCTGTACCTCCCTGCCTTTCCTCCTCTCCCACTCCAAACATGAGCTCACCGTTTCCAAAAAAAAATGCGTATGCATACACGAAGGGTGGCAGAAGAGGTCGTGGAAATTATACCCGGGGAGATTTGAACTTCTCGCTAAAAATTGTGGAGATAAGTCGCACGTACCACCAGGTGAAATTTCCAGGGGAAAGTGTTATGAATTCCCACATATATAAGACACGTACATGTGTCCTGTTTGTGTGTGTGTGCGCGAGTGCACTCGTGTTTTGGGATGTAACGATTTTATCCCCGCCCACGGCTATTCCAACAATTGCCACCATCCTTGGCAGTTCAAAACTCGTTTGTCCATTCTTGCTTTTGGAGCGCATGTCGCGGCCACTAGTGGCTGCTACAGGGATCACGTGACCCCATTACGGTGTCGGAAATGGTGTCGGCACGCGTGTTCCTGCAGACACGGGAGCCCATTTGGCAGAGCCCCCCCAGTGTTTATGGCTACTCTCACAGAACCCCCCCCCCAACCCACCACTGCCCGTAGTTCGCTGCCAATTGCTTACCTTGCTATGCCATACCTGGCCACATATCCAGCCACGCCGTACCCAGCCTGCCTGGCAGAGAGCCCCCCCCCCCCTCAGTGTTGATGGATACTCTTCGCCTGTATTTCAATTTCATTTTTGCTGTGTTTGGAGAAGGGCACCTTTGACTGCTTTATAATAGAATTCTTGAATAATTCCACTCAATTCCTACTTCCTGTAGTTGACGGGAAAGAGAAGGAAAAAACTCATTGGCTGGAAAGTGGGGGGTCCAGTTTTCGAAAACAAACGTCATGATAATAAACATTGCAAAGGGGCTTTGCTTTATACACGTCTTGAGCACAACAGAAAGTCCCGACATGCTTTGCTTGTGAAGATGATAGCGCCCTTCTTGTGCCACTTCAGCGCAACCTATACGGCGACCACTGGCTCAAGAGGTGAGCGTCGTGTGGCCTTTATATTGTAGGTGCCAGCAATAGGACAGCGAGGCAGTGTGGAAGGACCGTCAGAGCCTAATGGGGCACAAGGCATTCTGCGATTTCCTGTTGTGTTTTTACTCCCTGAAACGCTTTTCTGCTCGTTATTGTCCTCGCTTCGTATTTCCGCCACTGCTCTGCTGTTGCCACCAGATGGTCGTCGGGACGGGCTGGGGTTTTCCAGGCGACACGCTATCTTTGGGACAAGTACAAATATACCCCCTCCCGTCTTCACGTGTGGCGAGACCTTGGATGCAAAAATACGGTGGTGGCTTTTCCCCACTTCTTTTCAAAGCAGAAGCAAAACAGGAATGAGAATCCGCCAGTGCCCGGTCACAGCGACTCTCTCGGTTTTTGTAGCAGTTCCCTACGGAGTGTAGAGCCACGCCACTCGCAGTGGGTATCGTCCAGGCGCCACCATAGTGGCAACAAACCACACGCCCCGCTCAAGCTACGATCTCGTCTTGTCGCGGCGGCCCGGCATGAAACAACAGGACATTCCGTCACGCTCATGGGTAGACGGTGACGCACGCATGTTTAGTGTTTGAAGAGCTGGACCCCCTTTTCCCCCCCCCTTCCACCCCTTCCCTTCCACCATCCCCCCCCTTCCACCCCTTCCCTTCCACCACCCTCCCCTTGCACCCCCTACCTCCGCAGGGAGTGTGGTGTCTGCATTGTAACAGTCGCAGTTTAGTCTTTAGATTCATGTTAATGTGAATGTTTCATTGGAGAAATCTAAATTGCCATTTATGCAGGGTCGTTTCACATGCATGCTTTTACACATGCCGGGTTGTTAAAGTGTAATTTAGAAAATCACGGAAAGGAATATGGCGCGTTGTAGTTTCGTACTTTTCCCAGAGTAGTATTTGGTACACATTTACTAACCTACACCACACTCGATAAGTCATATGTTGGGATAATTATATTCGCCTTGAATTTGTTTCCAAATTACTCTTTCACTGGATCAACCTGTCACTTTTCCTTTTTTTTGTACAGATTCTAGCTGGTGCTTTTTAGTGACTGTTTGCTGTTGTTAACCACATTCAATTCCCTAATCACAAGTCACAATGAGATTTATTTTTAAAATGTATATTTATATTTGTGACGTGGATTTTAAAAAGCATTGCCATACATAATGCTATGGAACGTGGTCATTTCCGTAAGAATGCAAATGAATGCGCTTTGCAGAAATGCTTTGAACGCGCGCTTTGTGCTATCTCGGCTTGGTATCGCATTGCAGTATAATCGCTGTTATATGTCATTTAATCGTGTTTTGTGCTTGTTTTTTCTCCTCACCTACCCACAATGCAACCCCAATCCCGTGATGCACCTCTGCTTTGCTGTTTGTGTTAACGCGCTTGAAACCCCCCCCCCCCTCCCCATTGGCCCATCGCTGCAATTGCTCGCTGCCTGCTAATTAAAGGCCCAGTCGGCTGCTGTCCAATCGCTCAAGCGACCCCTCGAGGCCACCTTTGACCTGGTACTTTGACCTTTCACCTTCTAGCTTTGCTTCCTAGCTTAAGTTTCGGGAGGCGCAGAGGTTCAACGCAACTGGAGGCAAATCCAAGTGCTCAGCTCTCGCAAGCATTGTCTTTCGGTCTCCCTATTCTTTTTGTCATTTTCAAATTTTCCCTTTAAAACATTGCACCTGGAGCTTTGCGTTGCTTTGACTGCAAAGCTTGAGGCTTCACAGCGTCTGTAAACAAAAAAAGGGAACGAAGCCACGGGAATCTTTATTTTATATATATTTCGCGAGCTTTTGTTGTGTTTGCAATCGGAAATTGCGCTCGTTCTGCAAGCGCCAGGAAATGAAACACAAAGCATCGTCGTGTGTCCCGTGGACACTTTGCTCTCGCCCAAGAGCAACAGAGTCACACGGATAACTCCGCTGCTGTGTTTTACCCGCTGAGCTAAAGTGAATTGCTTGCTTCTCTCGAGTTGTGATGAGCCTCTGCCATGATCAGAACGACTGCACCTATTATTCATTGGTTTCATTTTATTCTGACGTAGATGTAAATGTTAATTAAATGCAGCGTTCGATTTTTGTTTCTTTTTTTATTACTTTTATGATGAACTCGCGCTGGCAAATATGAATCGCGTAACTCCAGTGTGAGTGGAAATGTGTTGTGATGCACGGTACAGTTGCGCGCAGGTTGAAATATTTTGGGCGATAGACTACACACTGACCAAATGGTAAATGCGCTAACATTAATTGTGTGTTTTAATAGCAATGCTCAATTGAAAAAAAATGTTTATGCCTAAATCCATCCTCTTTCAAGTCAATTATTTTTTTGTTTAAACACGCCTGGCGACCTTCTGGCACACTCGAGCATGAATATTTATATTACGTAAGTAACAGTAACAACATCATAACTAACTAATAATTAGTGTAAGTTGTGCTGCTTAGAAGTTGTAGACAAACTAAACAGATCTATATATACACACGGACATACATGTGAATATAAAAAAATACAACGTGCATAAGTGCCTAGTCATCGGTAATTGTTTTAAATGCGGGAAAGCTTTTTTAACTTTATTTAAACCAGGTGCTGTGTTTGTTAAAGTGACAACATTGAGGGGGGGTTGCTTTTTATGTTAAAATTGCCAAACGCATCGCGTTATGAATGCATGCCTGGTGCCAGCACCTCCCCTTGTCAGTTCTAAGCGACGGCTTCAAAACAGGAAGAAACGCGGGATGCCTCCTCTGTGCTCCGCTTTGCTCGTAGGTGGCAGGAGCCTACCCCCCCCCCCCGCCGTGTTCTTAGATGCTTTGCGTGCTCCACCTGGGCAGCAGTACGCTGCCCCTCTCTGCTAGCTCCCCCCCCCACCGCTAGCTCCCCCCGAACGATCGAGAGAGCGAGTGTACAAGTGAGCTTCCGATAAGGCGTTGCCGCAGGTTCCTGCGGAGGAGGGATATTTGTTAATGGAGCCGTGTGCTTGCGCCACTGCAAGTCCCTGTCGTTGCGTTTTGTCCGTCTCATAAACCCCGCGTGCCTGTGCAGCATGCAGGACGAAACGGGAGCTAATTAACGGCTCGGAGAACATTTATTTACTCGCCCACTTTCAGGCTCGAGATGACTTACAATGGAAACGAGCAAAATTAATACAAATAAAATCTCGTTGATGACGGAAACGCTCGGGCCTTAAATTGCCAATCTCATTCCGAGCATCAGTTTTCATTATGAGCGTATCCACGGCTAAGTTTGATTGGTTCTGATGAACCCTGACAAGAGGCGAAATGCTGAGCCTGCGTCTACTTTTGCGCTAAATCTCAAAACTTTGGCGGAGGCTCCGCTGCTTCTGCGCCCGGCTCGTGGCCGTGGAGGGAAGTGCGCGAGAAGCCTCTTGCTGGGGCGCACGGCCCACCACGTTGTGACGAACATGGCCCACCTCGTTGTGACGAACATGGCCCAATCTTAATTTTGGAGCTTTCGTGACTGCAGGAATTATTCTTTGGTTCTAATAGCATACTACGACGGCCCACTCCACCCGAATGGCACTCCCATTTCCAGCGCCAGGATTTTTGCACGGCGGTTAGGTGGACAATGTTCAGATGTGTGAATAAGCATTAGTTCTAGGGATTTTACTTTCTAGGAGGCACGACATGAAGTAATTTTTCGGCTGCTGGTGTGAATGTTGTTATGGTGACTTGGTTCAGGCTCACTGATTTTTCTACACGCACGTGCGCGCGCGCGTGCGTGCGGTATTTCATAAGAAGGTGTGACACAAAGTGCTGCCCTGTGAGGAGGTGCTAAACAGCAACCAGGCATCCTACGTGGATAATAATTCTGCATGTGGATTCCCTGCCACTTATTGAATTTAATAACGAAGTTAGTATTTCCGAGCGTAAGCGAACTTTAATTCTGGCTGTATTACCGTCATGCGGCTGCATAAATGGGAACCGCGCCTCGCATCGGGATGTCGCGTCGGTCCTCGCAGTCGCTCGGTCGATAGCTGCCATGCTGCTGCAGGCCCCGGGAATTTGACTTTTCCAGGCCCTTTGAAAATTTGAGTTTCCCAGATTAGCCGTACGCTTTTACAGTGTCGAAGCTCGTGTCACCCTGGCATGAGTGATGCATGACCGGGGCACCCGTCTTGCCGTAGGGCTACCGCATGTTACGTTACGGTGTTCGTGTACCGCCTTGCGGGGCGGGACGCACCCGGCACGTGCCACTTCGGTGAACGATTCCTAAGCAAAGCCAGAAAACATGAAATTTCACTTCCAGTTCTTAAGCCGCGTGGTGGACGACAACGTACTCAATCTCAAGCTAAATCCTACGCAATGCAGACCCTGATGATGAGGATCGGCTCGTAGTATGGCACATTGCAGTGTTTTAAGAGGCTAGATTGTTGTCTTGTGGCGGAAGGTTTTTCTGTTCTCTGGACGTTTAGCAGCGCGCTCTTCCGATTGGCCTGGCCCAAGAGTGAGAGCCCACCGTGTGAAGTCATCGCAAAAGATACGCTCGGCGATGCAGCCCCAAGGCCTGTATGGAAACTGCAACTGCTGCGTTCAGATGTATTATGGTCAGGGTGTAGGATTTGTTTTAATAGACGTGCCATGATAGTTGTGAAATACGTCGCATATTTTGTACAATTTACTCGTGATTTGATGGAAAGTTAAGTGTAAATAGTGTAATAAAATAATAAAAATAAAACATAATAAAATAATTCTCACGACGTTTCGGCCACAACGCAAGCAGCCGTCCTCAGGTGAAACCCAGGTCTGTCGAGGCGACAGCGTCTGGATGATTATTATTTTAGAATTATTTTATTATGTTTTATTTTTATTATTTCATTACTTCCCTTCTATGTGCCTTTACCGAAAGAACCAAGAAGATGAATCCCTGCAGTCACGAAAGCTTTAAATCGAAATTTAACTCGCACAAGACTCGTTTGGTACGGTTGGTTACATACGGTGCGCGAAAGAAGTTCAACATACATACTCGCACAACTAACATTTTTCAACGTAACCTTTAACACCAAGACACGCGTGCCATATTCTGTCGTTAATGTGTCAAGACAGCCTCAAATACAGCGTTACGGTTAGGTTGGTGCCCCATATGTCGCCTCGCATTTGTCTTTCACTTTGCATGTAGTAGCTTTTAATAGAACATCCCGTGTCATTTGTTGACAAATGTGAATCATCGGGCTGGCCGAGGCGAGCGACTTTTTCAACATGCGCTAAAATACACAGTGCTAGGATGTCGTGTAAAAAAATAAATACATTTTATTAGCCCATTACGTGTGTGGCTGTCCAGATGAGCAGCAGAATTCAAAAGGCTTAATGAACCGTGTGCGTTTTTGGACAAATATGCCTTTTCCTTTGAGAGTATAGATTGCGGTTTCGCTGTGGGATGACCGAGGCGGCTCCATTATGAATCCCTGTGTGTTTGCAGTTGCGGCGAAATCCTTACATCAATACTTAATGAATGAATGCAGATGAGCTGTCTGCTAATAAGCCGTTTTCAAAACACGCCGCTGTTTGCCGTGGCAGCATCCGCAGCAAGTGTGTGTAACCTTTCGTGTAGGTTTTGAAGTGCGCGCGCGCGCGCATGTCTGCGTGTGTGTGTGTGCAGACCAATGCCAAAATTTTCCGATTGTGAGTGTTGCAAACAAACGAGATGAATGTTTTGCCAAGCAATTATGTCTCCTTTCAATTGTATGATGGCACACAGTTGCTTATTTTTTTTCTTTATAGAGAATATGCTTGTTTATCTAAGATATCCTCGCTGATTCTCAAGACACTTTTTCACGAGGGTCCTGCTAGGTTTTCACAGTGATCAGTGCTATGCATTTTGAAATTCAGTCATTTGCGAGTACATTTTCAATTTATTAAATTGGGACCAGGACTTCGCCAGCACTGTATGGCCTGCTCTTCTTTGAATGACTTCACATGATCTTTAATGTCCACTATGAAGCAGAGGGCGTGTATTTTATGGTTATTAAACCCATGGTATTAACCAGGGTTACCCGCCATAACCGAACCACAAACCTCTGCAAAACGTGGTGAATGCACTACCAAGTGGCCATGTAAACGACCCATTGGTTCCAATTGATTTCAAAAATGGACTCCATAAAATATTAATGTAATAGTTTGGTAACATTTTCTGGGATTTAGCACCGTAGCCAATTTGTTTCCATGCGTAATAAAAAAAGTAAACCACATGAATATAATTCTTAGTATTTTATTTTGTGCCAAGATCCGGGCTTGACGAGTCCTGGGGTCAGAACGGCAGCCGTGCTTGTGGGCATACATCACAATAAGAAGCCCGATTCATGAAACAAAAATGTATCTTTGTTTTAGTATTCATGTAACTCCTCTGCTTCTTGTTCGTTGTTTGTGTCTCTCATTTCTCCCCCTCTCTTTCCCTTTCATCCTATGCGCCCCGGGCGTCTCCCCACTCCACCCCCGCACTCCCCGCCCCCCCCCCCCCCCCAAACCTACCCCCCCCCCCCAAACCTACCCCCCCCCCCCTTCCGCAGGCGCTACCCCCCGGATTCCTTGCTCCGTTACCAAAGAGAGCAGCACTTGACAAAGCCAACGGGGCCACGGCCATGTTCAGCCCCAGCGTCCTGCACTACCAGCAAGCCCTAGCCAGCATGCAACTCCAGCAGCAGGCTACCTTCCTCCCACCTGGTACGCACGCATCCCCCGCCCCCAAAGACAAAGATGCCCCTATGGCCTTGAGCTGACTTGGGGCAAGTGCTGTTAGCGAGCACCTGTGAAGGCCGGCACGGCACATGAGTGGGGGGGTGGGTGACCAGCACCAGCCCGGCGATGGGAGCTGGAGTTGAGTCTCGACGTAGCGCTGCTCGCCTGCTCAGATTGCCGCACCCATGGACATGCAACGGCGACGACGACACGTCAGCGATTTAAGTCGATTCCGACGTTTGCACGTTGCCCGCATCGATTGATGTATTTACTGGTTTTGCATAAGACGTGATAATGATAGGTTCCGGCCAATGAAGAGAGCAAAAATGTGTAAATGACATGGAAAAAAACGACCAACAACCTTAACGAGCTGCAACAAGCTTAACAAACGAATTATTTTTAAACGAAGAGAATCTTGACCCCCCCCCCCCTTCCCCGCCTCCTACGTTATCGTGATAATTCATGGCACAGCCGGGTGCCGGCATTAAAATGGTTGGCAAGCAGGACACATTAACGCGGACCCTATTCTCAGCCCCAGTCGTCGCCATGTCCCTCCGCGGTCCGCCATTTCCACTTCTCCCGACTCCAGCCTCCATTCCAACGCAAATCGAGCTGCCCGCTGTTTGGAGTGGCCCCTCCCGTTGGCTTGAATGGACGCACGCGCCACGTCGGGGACTTGTGGAGGCTGAAGGTCTGGAAGCCAGTAGCATCGAATGCGTCTGTTCACGGTGACCCGGATAAACCCAGAGGAGCCTTTGTCTGTGCGCCACCTCCGCACGAGGGGGGTGGAAGTGACCAGAAGTAACCTTTCAATTAGCCCGCTTCGCAAAGTGCGCACCTTTTTGCTTTAAAATTGGCCGGCGAAGGTGAAAGTGCCAAATTAAAAGACCCTCGGGATGGTCCAAGTGGCAAATTAAAAGACCCTGGGGAAGGTCAGACCTTTTGCAGGGAGTCGATGTATTGAATTGCGCGTGCACCATTCGCTATCGACGTGTCGGTGCTTGAGCTCGTCGCCGTGGCACGTGTTGGTGAGCTCGTCGAGCGCGCACAGTGATAGCGCGCACAGCGATAGCGCGTTAGCGCGCACAGCGATAGCGCGTTAGCGCGCACAGCGATAGCGCGTTAGCGCGCACAGCGATAGCGCGTTAGCGCGCACAGCGATAGCGCGCACAGCGATAGCGCGTTAGCGCGCACAGCGATAGCGCGTTAGCGCGCACAGCGATAGCGCGTTAGCGCGCACAGCGATAGCGCGTTAGCGCGCACAGCGATAGCGCGTTAGCGCGCACAGCGATAGCGCGTTAGCGCGCACAGCGATAGCGCGTTAGCGCGCACAGCGATAGCGCGTTAGCGCGCACAGCGATAGCGCGTTAGCGCGCACAGCGATAGCGCGTTAGCGCGCACAGCGATAGCGCGCTAGCGCGCACAGCGATAGCGCGCTAGCGCGCACAGCGATAGCGCGCTAGCGCGCACAGCGATAGCGCGCACAGCGATAGCGCGCACAGCGATAGCGCGCACAGCGATAGCGCGCACAGCGATAGCGCGCACAGCGATAGCGCGCACAGCGATAGCGCGCACAGCGATAGCGCGCACAGCGATAGCGCGCACAGCGATAGCGCGCACAGCGATAGCGCGCGGACGCAGCGGGTTGAGCGGTGGTAGAAGCAGCGCATCGTTGCGGAGGTCTGTAACGAAAGTTTCACCTTCGCGCACAGAGCCTTTTCTCATTCATGAACAGTGGTCGGGCATTTACCGCGCCTTGCAGAGGTGTTGTGGTTCGAGTCCAACAGGCCACATTAACCATGTAATAGCGTGCGCCTGCTTCGCAGTCTATAAACCTCCGTGAGTCAGCCCTGACGAGATTGATCGGCAACTTATCAACAATTCACGAACTTCGATCGGCAAAAACAACACGGCAAGTCTACGAGTAACTTTATTGCACGCTACGTAACTGCCAAGAAACCTCTGAATTCTCACGTCCGTTCTCGGTGAAGGAAGTAGATGCCGGTATTGCCCAGTTGAAATGCGGGAAAGCCTCGGGTCTTGACGATATTTATCCAGAATTCATCAAGAACTCGAGAGCAAGAGCGAGAAAATGGCTAGCCACATTCTTCACTGACATCCATTCCACAGGCATCGTTCCTTGTCGACGCCGAAATTAACGACGCGCTTCGTATCGTCAGCGGTTCCCTAAAGTCGACTCCACTCCCGTGGCCAACATCCGACGCGACGACACGGGAGTACAACAACAAGATAATGAACAACTTCACTGCCGCTCCATCAAGATCTAAAGGAACCCCCATGCCGCCCAAGGCTAAAATCCAGGAGACCGTCCTGGATACGCGCCCTGCGCCCTAGCAGTCGACAATAAAGACACCTCCACTCTGTGGTCTGAATCATGGGCGGCTACGGACGTGGCAAACAAAAACATCGTTCACGATCCGACGGTGGAAGTACCGTGGATTCTGTATTCCACGACGACTATGGACCACGCTGAACCGCGTTCGAACACGACACGGCAGATGCGCGTGCACGTTTCATAAATAGAAGATCAAAGAATCGCCCAACTGCGACTGTGGAGAAGTCCAAACCAATCAAGCACGTCGCCCATGAATGCTCCATCCATGCACATCCTGGCGGTATCGCTGAAATCCACACTGCATCAACCACATCATTGGACTGGATGACGAACTTTTGCATTCATTTTTGACCATCCTTAAAACTGTTGCTTTTCACACTGCCATATGAAAGAAGAAGACAGTGGATGTTAAAGAGATCCCATGACGTCATTTCGAAGGAGCCAACAGTTGTGAGCCAGCGTCAGATTTGCCAAATTTCAAACAAATTACTTGGAAATTACTTAATGGGGAAATATTGTAATTTTCACTTCCGATTGCAAAAACTTAATCGGACGCTCCTGCAAACGAGTCTCAAGACTCGGTTAGGCTTGCCTGGGCACACAAACGTAGCACTAATAGGAATAAAAGGTGCATTTTCAAAAGCGGGACCGTTTAACAGTTACTTTTCGGTCGCTTCGTGTGGGTCTCTGCATGCCCAATGCAAGAGAACGCAGCACCCGGCCTGGCGCTCCTTTAGTCTTTTAAATCTAGCTCGAGCTATGCCGCAGAGAGCAAAGGCCGCCCCCTGTAAAGAAAACGGCGCTGCGTAATTGGCTCGTGATTGCACGGCTCCGGAGCTGCAGGTCTGTCGACCCTTGCCCTCGTGGCTGCAGAGGTCAAGTGAACCCACTACAACATACATGTACACAAAGTGAAAATCCACCGGTCCTCGCACACGCGATTTGATGCATGCATCGTCGTGAGCTTAATAACCGATATCAATCTATGAAACTCTGCATCGTTACCCCTACAGCTCGCACACACACATGCACGATTGTCCAGGCAGGTCCTCTGTGCTCTGTTAAATGATGCATGCACCACTCACAGCACCCCCATTCATTGCGACGTTGTGTTGTTGTTTTTGCGGCAATCGCAGCCATTAAGGGGACAGCTTCACGAATATTAAAATAACTCGTGGCGAGCCTAATAGTATGCGTGGTACGTGGTATGCAGACCCAAGTCAGTGGCACGAATATGCACATATGATGGGGAGGACGTATGGACGACTGTCTCAAGGTGAGGGGCACGGCGAGATCGCGGGGGTGACACGGGGGAGACGAGCGATCGTCTCACGCGCTTCTGCTCGTTACTAATCGACTCGCCTGCGCATCCCTGAAGCTGTCCTTTTAATTGCCGCGGCTGCCTCCCGATGTCGCTTGCGAGCCCCACCCCCTCCCTACACTACTTCTCTCGCTGCGCTTCGACTGCGGGGCAAAACCCTCGTTTGAATTCACGACACCATGAGCTTTGCATTCATGACCGCTCACACACATTGTTTTGTTTATTTATTGTAGTTCTTTTTTATTCGTGTCAATTTTATTTCATACGACTACTTTATTGGCGTAATTCGGAACTGAGGTTGGCGTGCCGTATAATAGAGTAAATGATTAAACTGCAACTGGGAACGTACGTTGTACTGAATTGGAAACGTCCAATGTGCCCTGTAATTGATGAAATGCCACTCGGAGTCTACAGCAGACTTGACTGTGAATAGGAACGTAGCAGTGCCTATTGTGCCAGCCAACTGCTGTTTCCCCACCCACAGCCATTAACCCATCCCTCTACTTACCGATTATGCCCTCGGATTATAATGGTCAGCTATGCGCCTTATTTTCCGCATATTCCTTTCTCAAAACCATTTATTTAACGTCAAAAACACCACCTATAAAATCTTGGACAGTGCCAAGCTTTCTTTTATAAAACTCAAGTTTCCATGGCTTTTCACAAGCGCAAGCAATGGGACAAAGCGTGAACAATGCAATGCTGGTTTTGCTTGGTTTCCCCAATAGACTCCAGGGATTCTCTTCCAGCATTATTAACGTCCCACAACAATAAAGCTTTAGCCAGCCCAGGGTATATCGAGCGATCGCTATCATTCAGCGGACGAACGACTCTAAGTTCGGCCGGCCGTGTGGCATTCTGGACGTCGCGAATCGTCGGCGTGGTCCCAACGCGGCATGCGCTCGCTGAACCGTGCGCCATCGAGGGGCCCGTCGTTGAGACGCGCCTTCCCCCCGTCACCCTCGCTAATGCCCGCAGCGTCGCCCGCTGGAGGGTTCCCGACGCGAGTCCCACGGCAGTGGACTAGAGTGACAACGGCTCGTCGTCCGTAGGTTCACGTCAACAAGCGAGGAACGCCTGAATTTGGAATTGAAAAAAAAAGTTGAGCTCTAGAAAGAATTTATATTTTGGTCGTTTGCAGTGGAGAGTGACGTTCAAAACGATACGAATACGAATTGACGTAAAAAAAATATTAAACGGGCCGTTTTACAAGATGAATGTACGTGGTGGTGAATAAATAAGTCTTGAACTCCCCCACCAATGTTTTTCTTTCCGGCACAATTGATTCCTATTGACATCTGCTGCTTTACCTATTTACGTGTAACCACATAAATACAATTAACCGTCTTTTCTCACTCTGCACCCACCGTCGTCTTTCACAGCCAATCTGTCCCTCCTGCCCTAACTACTGGTACATCCCCACTGGCACCCTCGGTTGCTCGGCACTGTAAAGTCGTCCCTCCCCCCCCCCCCCCCCCCCCGTATCCTGTTGACTGCACCAACCAGACATTCCTCCTCCCGTGTGCGACTTCTGCACCCGAAGGCTGCCTCTTGCGGATGATGTGACCCTGGGAACAAAAAGGGGCGGGGGGAGGGAGAGAAGGGGGGGCGATCCAGTCACCTTGTTAGTATCGATCGCTTGCCCGGGAGGGTCGCCGATGATTGTTTGCCTGCTCTCAGGCCCGAGGAACCCGTAGTCCACCACACGGAGCAATTTGGAGCACGTCCGGATTTTAGTTCTGCTCAACATCAGCATCAGAATTTGTATTTTTCCCGGAGAAATCCCATGAGATTTGAAGTTCTTTTTGCATGCTGAACTTCTTTCGTACCGTGCTAATCAGAGGTGTACAGGGGAAGAACGGCAAACTAAACACATCACGGATGTCCAGTAGGGGTGGGTCAGAAAGTTACAGCAACAAACAATACAACAACACGATTGGAGTGCCAAGTATAGGGAGGATCTCTGTGGCCGCTCAAATTTTCCCGAGATCAAAAATCTCTTTCGATTCTCAGCCCGTTTTCCTTGTACGAGCGATCGTAACGTGGTTTAACCGTTCGTTTCTGTGTTTGTTCCGGATATTATCATTTTTTTGTTTAAAATTTGTATTTTGTTTCTTCGATCAATGGGCCGCGTTTGCGAGCATGTAGTCACGCACGCTGCCACCGCGCGCACACACGCCGCAACGGTCGCATCGGCACAACTCGCACACGTTAAAACTGAAGTTTTGTGATGTGTTATATGAAGTACAAAGTATCGCTAAACTTGACAAAAACAAAGTAAATGTATCGTGTGTGTTAAACAAAACAAAAAACCCCGAAGGCAATCGTCAAATTTAAAACAACATTCCGGCAGTGTAACGTTTTAATGAAATACGCTGTGTGCACCTCGGGAAGCAACAGGCAACCATCTGGTCTGGAAATTGGCATCTGATTAAGCCTAATGTGGACCTATTGATTCTCCTCCCCCCCGTTTCTTCCTAACGATCCCCTCCCGCCTCCACCTTGGGTATGCTGCATGCGTCCTGTCAGGCACCGTGCTGTGCATGCCGCCCACCACAAGCCTGGGTATGTTCGGCGATCTCCTTTTCTGCTGAGTTACGGTCGAGTCGGTGTCTCCTCACCCCCGCACCCTGCACCCCCCACCTGCCCACTCCTCCCCCAACCCCGGCGGCATTTCAATCCCAAATCTGTGATTCCCGTGCGTTCATGGTGCATGGGCGACTCCATTTGGGCGGGGTTCGCAGTTCGTTACGGGGTCCAGAGGTGGTCGCGGCGAGTATGCGGCAGACGGAGACGGCCTCCTGTTAGTGTTGAGGTTGAGGCCAGTGGTGTAGCTATCGAGCGTGCTTGTGCTGCAACCACGCCGGGGGCCATAGACCGGGAGAGACTTTGGGGCTACAGACTGGGGGGAGGGGGGGGCTTTGCCATTTCGTTTACTTTCACCAGAGCCCTCGGCGCCAAATCACGCTCGGCCGCTGGTTGAGGCGGTCGGCCTGCAATAGTCACCCATGCAGAAGCACGCAGCAGCCCTTAGTAGGAAATGTGCGAGTCTGGAATCGGTTTTGTGGAATGTGTCATTTGTTCGGGATGGGGAGGAAAGGAGAGGGGCGGGGGCTGTTGGCGGGTTGTGTGGGTGTTTTTTTAAGCGCTGCATGGACTTGTTTCAGTGTTATTGAGGTGCGAGGGGCACGCTCTGTTAATTCCGAGGGAGGGGACGTCCGCTGATGCAACTAGTATGCGGCGCTTATTGATTTTCAGATTTTAACCAAAGAAGGCCACGGTAGAATGCCTACCATACGAGGCGGGGGGTGGGAAAAAATATTTTTAAAAGGCAACAAAAAGGTCCAATTGATTTTCCGCTCGTGCTAAAGCCATCATCTAACGTAATGCCCCTTTAGATCTTTACATTTTCCATTTTGTTCGCATTAAAGATTTATACACCGGCAACGTTTGATTGACTTTGGTGAACCTGTGGGTGCTAACGGTTGCGATTGGTTGCTGGCTTGAAGTGCATCGACCAAACCCGTGTCGGCTTTTTTGTGTTTCGGCATTGCCGCGAATGTGTCTCTGGCAGTGCGCTGCGACTGAGTGCTCGATGCACGCAATACGTTGCGAGTTTGCTAAGCGCAGTCTTTAGAGGCGCTAGTGCCAAGCGGCGTTAAGAGGCAGGAGCGTCGCGTTGTCTGCTCGATGTACGTGACAAAGATCTTCATAGCTCCATCGGATTTCTTGAGGATGAATAAAGATTCTGAATTTGGCATTTATTCAGCCGACTACAGCGACAGTTCCACGCACCATTCAACAAAATGTAGCAACCTCACAGTCAACTTCTGAACCATCCGAATGATGCATTTGCGGGATTCTATTGTATTATCAGGAGTTGTTGAAAACATGACTTAAAGCCGAATTGCACCATCACCGTGTATGAAGAGGTTATTTTGTCCAGGGGTAACATCCCACAACCGCGATATTTTGCAAGCATTTCTCCCTTATCAAGAAAGGCGGACAGATTATTCATCCATTACAGTCTTAGTCGGTTGGTACTTTTGAGCCTGAGCAAAAAAAAAATAGCCGCTTGATGATTATACTAAATGGCACCCACATCTTTATAAGTGTCTTAAATGTACGTTCAGAGTTTTGGCAATGCCCTGTATGGGTGCAGATGCTCCTGCTGCGTTGGGAATCCCTTGCTGCTGCTGCCTTGCATGTGCTTGGTTCCACAAATCATCGTGAGTGGCCCTGGGCGTCCGTATGTACGGAAGGGATTTTGAGACCAAAGCCTGCTCGTATCCCCATTTGATTGGCAAACCAGACGTAGGAGCAAATTTGATATGATCAGTTGGAAGTTACAAGCTACCATCAAAGTAGCTATGCTTAATGCTGGCGAATTGAAGCTAGTTCACAAATGAATACAAATATACATTTTACCAATAGTGTTAAGTGGAACCAACGAAGTAATGCAAAAATACAGTAACTGCAATTTTCAGTTATTCGCAACGTGAATTAAACGTGTGATAATTATACAACTTTAATGCCTCCCTCGCACATAAACAATCAAAATTTGGATTAAAAGAACATGTTTCACCACGGTCTATTTGCAGTGCATTTTATAACTGTCGTTCTCGCCAAATGTGTGCTCTCATCTTGAAAAAGTATCATTCCAAAGTGTATTGGCGGCTCAGATTTGAGTACATGGCACCACACCACACAAACGCACCTGGGGCGATATTGCGACTAACTTTTCCCCAATTTCTCCCAGATTGTGCTACCAGCGTCGCGTCACGAGACCAGGCATCCATTTGGATCACTCAGAGTTCAGTGCAACCCATGATGTCAGAGAACGGCCTTCCCACCCACCCGTACTACCACATGAGAAGTGTGTTCTTCGCAAGGCGGGCAAATTGATATATATATTTACATTTTCAGAGGTGGACTTATACCCAAATTAAGCGGGGAACCAAATGTAACATTACGACTTTTTTTACGCATTTATCGATGACTGGGGTTGAGAGACCATCGACTTGCTGAACTTGATGAGAGCCCCGTTCAAACAGAGGCGCCCACCAGGATTAGAAGATAAATATCTAGCCAGCTCAGTCGCTGTTACGTCTCAAACGCTCGGCCACATCGCGATATTAAGGGTGATCTTGCCGGTGCTCAGAAGGCCGAGGAGTGAGAGGGGCGGGCAGGCGGGCAGGTCGGTGGGTTGGCGGGTTTGTGGGCGGGCAGACAGGCAGACAGGCATGGGGTGGGCACTCGTGAGCGGAAGCGCAGGCCGCTCTCCCGCTACGTGGCAGCGCCACGCGCACAAACTCCGCCAGACAATGACACGGACACCACCCCAACGTGCGATTGTGTCTCACTTGCTTAACCGTCTAGGGCCAGAGGTTGGCGACCTGTGGCTCCGGAGCTGCGTGTGACTCCTTTGAGGGCTGCTTCGTGACGTTATATATTGGGACAACCGTCTGATATTCACATGCATTGCGCGGCTCTTGAAAGATTGATTTTTTTTTTTACCAAATTCGAAAAAAATGCCCCTTGTTATTTTGATTGCCAGCCCTTGGTCTAGGCGTACGGGAATACACAGGAAATATTTTTTTTTTGCGAATGTGGAACGTCCGCTGCTGGGTAGCACGGCTCAATAGCACATGTACCCTATACAAAACGAAACGAAAAGGCTGGCTGAAATGACATTGCGGTAACCACAAGTCTGGCGGGTGCGCGACCGTGCGTAGTACAGTACCGTGGAAAAATACGTTAGCCTAGGGTGCCCCCTCCTGTTTGCGTCTTGAACCTGAGAAAATAGTCACAAGGCTACAACTCTGGTACCGTATGCATCAGCAGCTGTACAAATATGCGGGTCCACGTCACACTGGAATGTTATTCTCTACTTGCCACAGCCTCGCGTCTCAATTAAAATGAGAGCAGTGCATTGTCGTTCTTGTTGGTGGGGGGGAGGTGGCACGTGCCTGCATTAATGAGCGCTCTGTCTGCTTTTGTAATTGGATAACGGCGTCCTTTCTGCTGTCAGAGGGACCGCTAACTCTAGGCATGGGCTGTCAAGGCAGATCTTTTTTGTCGCCAGTATAGGTCCCAAATTAACAGTGAATGCAGCTGTCTCACTCGAACAAGCGTTCATAACTGTTTTCCCATTACTGAGGTCACTTTGCTTAGTTACGCAGTTTTGAAATCGCATCAGCACTCCCCTCACCAGACGTTTTATTCCGTTATTACTCATGCAGATTATGTAGGGATTGTGTTTGGAATTTAAAGCTGTTGTTTTTTGTCAGCCGCTGTCTAAAGTTGAATCAAAGGCTGTCGGGATTCTTGCCGGTCGTGTACGAACGGTCCCTTTTCTCACTTGGAGCTGAGGCTCAGGGCAGTGTGGAAAGAACAGTTGTTATCATACATTCCAGTGTAGTGTAAACCCTGGCCATCGAGTCAATCATTCGCTTTCTGCAGCCTGTGATGACCTCTTGAACTGGACCAACGATGTTGACATTGGCCGAGTTTGTGCGAGTCATGCAATGGTCACGTGGGACCCAGGTGTCCTTTTAAGAGACAAAAGTACATCTTCTTGGTTCTTTCGGTAAAGTCACGTAGAAGGGAAATAATAAAATAATAAAAATGAAACGTTATAAAATAATTCTCATTAGTTTAATATGTTTTATTTTTATAATTTTTAAAATTTCCCTTCTACGTGACTTTACCGAAAGAACCAAGAAGATGAATCCCTGCAGTCACGAAAGCTTTAAACCGAAACAAAAGTATATTGCAAGCAACGCCATCGCTTCGTGGAAATCTAAAAGCAACCCTTAGTTTTAGAATGCCGCAATACCAGGTTGTGTACTGTATTTCAAATTGCACAGTAACCCGAGTTGACAATATTGATACATTTAGTCCAAGTGATATTGAACGATTCTAGGTCGATGTCGGTATTGATACCGACACAGATGCCTTGCGAAATGAAAGATTTACGAAATTTGGCCGAAGGAATGTTTACGGCGCAACTTAAACGTAAATAGTTTTCCACTCTAAGAATATTTTTTAAATTAATCCAACTTTTTTTTTTTGTGCTCGCCTATGCGTATATATCCTGAATGGGCAACCTTTTTTAAATGTAATGCTTAAACCACATCCACGAAGAGGGACACATGCACGGTGGCACAATGACCGTGGATATCTACACGGTAGATAATTGCTTGTTGACCTCAAGCACCGTGTTTTAAAAAGTGAATGTGGTCGTGTTCATTCACTTGAATGTCACATTGGTGTGTGGAACACAATGTACGTTTCGAATCTGGCCCTAAACATGTCAGTGGTTGTAATCGTAACGTTATATAATGAACAAACGAGACGTCTAATTTCAATGCATAATGATTGTATAAAAAAAACGGACTTCCAGTCTGCTCATTGTCACCACATTCATTACCCATAACCCTCCACCACACCGCACAATGAGCTTTATCCAATTGTGACAGTTTTCTTTGGTTGGTTTTATATTTCTCACGTCCTAGTTTTGTTTCCCGTTTTTTTTCCCCGTAACATTTTTGCTGCTTTTTTTCTAATATTATTTTGATTCATTTTGGTTAATGATTTGGTTTGTAATCCCCCCACCCTCCTCCCCGGTACGTCTGGTGCGGTGTGGGTCGTGCGCGTGCCCAACCGGCAACATGGCTTTGACGCTCTGCCACGCCTGCCCGCCCGCCTGCCCGCCTGCCCGCCTGCCCGCCCGCCCGCCCGCCTGCCCGCCCGCCTGCCCGCCTACCGCCCCCTCCGGCCGCCACAACACCACGCGCACGGCCCCACTACTCGCCCTGAACCTCTCCCGCCCGCCCATCACTCCCACCCTGTCCCCTTCACCCATTTGCCTTCCCTCGCGCCTCCAACCCCCCCAAAGTCCCCATGATTCCCGGCCCCGCGGGGAGCCCAGTGTCAGCCACGGCTTCGCCCAACAGCAACCTACCCTTCGTCACATCCTCCAGCGCTAACCAGGTTTGCGTCCCGGTTTTTTACACGCCCGCCCGGCTACTTCTGTCTGTGCGTCTCGGGGAGGGGTAAGGATTTGGGGGTTTTACCTGTCCTGTACCTGTCACTCCTTCAGGGAAGCACGTGGGCAGTGTTGTGGTGTGTTCCAGACTTTGACGTGCAGGGTGATGCGGCAAGGATGCTCAGCTGAGTGGATGCACCCCATTGTAATGCACTTGGACGTCCGTCATCAGTCCATGTAACCCGAGCGTAGGAGTACCGGGGGCGGGTTTTGAGATTTTGACGTGGTTTGAGATATCCACCAAATTATTTTTTTTAAATGTCCCCAAAAATGTTTTTTTACATAAATATGTACGAAAGGATACTATTTTGGTGCTTTAGTAAGTTTAGTTCAAGTTCATTTCAAGTTCATTTATTAGGTATAGCCCTGTGAGCCATTCAGCTCTTGAATCGGGTGCAACCGCAACAAACAGAAAACAAAAACATGAACAAGAAAACATGTGCAAACAGAAAATCCAAGAAAAGACAGCAAAATATTGCAGAAAAAGCACCGTACATCAACACTGTGTGCAAAATGCATATTTTAAATAAAAAACGTCGAGGTCTCTTAATCAGATAATTAAGCCCGTGGCTAAAGTAGAAGCGGCGAGGAATCCCCCCCCCCTTACTACACACATTTGCATGGTCCACAGTGCACTGCTACACGAGGTTAAGGTTAGACATATCCACTTCATGCAAGGGTAAGGCACTTGCATTTCATCCTCCATGGCTGTGGGTCATCATTCCCGCAAAAGAATGGAACCACTCCAGAGTTAACGTTTTTACCTCTTGCTCTTAGGTTTTTTCGGTAAAGTCACGTAGGAAAATAATAATGAAATAATAATGAATGAAAAATTACTAAATTAAATCACGACGTTTCGGAGGCAACACAAGTCTCCGTCTTCAGGTGGGACCGCTAAAGCTAAATTTACTGTATCAAGTAAAGAGAAATGGATTTCTCTTTACTTGATAACAGTAAATTTAGCTGTGACGGTCCCATATGAAGACGGAGACTTGCGTTGCCTCCGAAACGTCGTGATTGAATTTAGTTATTTTTCATAGATTATTATTTTATTATTATTATTATTTTACCTACGTGACTTTACCGAAAAAAACCAAGAGTATGAATCCTTGCAGTCACGAAAGCTTCAAATCTAGAGTTTTTACCTCTGCTCATCTCTAAAAACCGGCCTGATGTGTGTTACTTGCGCGCACCACGTGGCAAGTGTCTGCTACTGATAGCAAAGTTCCATTTGTTTGTGGGTCGTGGGTAAGGTTGCAACACCCCCTCTCTCTACATTTGCTGCACTTTCCCCAATGAATTGTCTCCTCCTCCTGCTGCCCGCTCGTTGCTCCGGCTTGGCTCGCTCGATTGGCCTCTTTTTCTTCCAGGCGGCTCTTAAAGGGACGCTGCTGACTTCTGTCCGCATCCGCTCGCTCCCACATCCTGACAATCGTATTTGCGCCCACGTGCACCGCCGGTGTGTCAGCCTTTTCAGCAAAGGGCGCAGATGTTAATCGACGCTGGCGTTGTGGCTGAACACGCAATGCACTTTGGCCGGCTTAAAGCTTCCCCGTGGGAGGATTTTTTTTGTTTATTAAGTTAAATTGCAAACGAAAAAATTCATAGGTTTCACTTTTAGAGCTTTGCAGCAAATACCATTTGCATATTTCTGCCCGGCCTTTTGCCTTATATGTTCACGGTTGTCTGTGCAGCTGTTTTAAAATGCTCTTCCTGGCTGTGGGAAAGATATGTTGCAAGTTTGAAAATACGCAGTATGTTTGCAGTGGAGCCAACGAATGTGTGAAATGTGTCAAGGATAAATGTTTGTGTGTTTTGTTGGTAAACAGCTGTAAAAGTTTTAAATTAGTTTGCAATCGTTGCCAATACGATGCGTATATATGGTGTTGTATGAACAGTTGTATGGCCTACGGTTACTCGCATTTAGAATACTATTTGCATTCATATGTAATCGTAAATTATTAGTGGTTTTGCAAAATCCAATTCAGGAGGAGGGGTAATCACATTTTTTGGCGATATTTTCCAGATGCTTGAAGCCTTGCTTCGAATGTTGGGTATACGTGTTTATTGTAGCTTTGTTTTATTTCACGTTGCTACGGGAAGAGTCCTTTGGTTCGTGCGGTGTGCTCCACATTTTTATTGCTCGGTGTGAGCTTATTTATTCAACCTCTTAGATTTACGAGCCCAAGACCGGTTAGACGTTGCAATTCGTTACGTACTATTTTAAACAATGTATCTGATTTTTTATATATGTGTGTATATGTTTAAACTGCTTTAGATATCACCATCAAATGAACGAAGTAGTAGCAGTAGGAATGCGCACCGGCGATTGAAGCAATGCGATGTGGATTTTGACTTGGCGAGGGCAGCCTCCCGACGGGACGGACTTGGTCGCGCCGTGGAAATCTGCGATGCGGTTCTGCCTCTCCCGGCTAGTCACCGGGCCAGTTGGACACCGAGGAAGCGCCAATTGTCGTTCCCCAGCGCTTATTGTCGATCATCAGCAGCACCATCCTCATTACCCAACTCTTACCGTAGATCATCAGCAGCACCATCCTCATTACCCAACTCTTACCGTAGATCATCAGCAGCACCATCTTCATTGCCCAACTCTTACCGTAGATCATCAGCAGCACCATCCTCATTACCCAACTCTTACCGTAGATCATCAGCAGCACCATCATTACCCAACTCTTACTGTAGATCATCAGCAGCACCATCCTCACCCAACTCTTACCGTAGATCATCAGCAGCACCATTCTCATCCAACTCTTACCGTAGATCATCAGCAGCACCATCCTCATTACCCAACTCTTACTGTAGATCATCAGCAACACCATCATTGCCCAACTCTTACTGTAGATCATCAGCAGCACCATCCTTATTACCCAACTCTTACTGTAGATCATCAGCAGCACCATCATTGCCCAACTCTTACTGTAGATCATCAGCAGCACCATCCTCATTACCCAGCTCTTACCGTAGATCATCAGCAGCACCATCATTACCCAACTCTTACCGTAGATCATCAGCAGCACCATCCTCATTACCCAGCTCTTACCGTAGATCATCAGCAGCACCATCCACATTACCCAACTCTTACTGTAGATCATCAGCAGCACCATCCTCATTACCCAACTCTTACCGTAGATCATCAGCAGCACCATCATTACCCAACTCTTACCGTAGATCATCAGCCGTACCATCCTCATTACCCAACTCTTACCGTAGATCATCAGCAGCACCATCATTACCCAACTCTTACCGTAGATCATCAGCAGCACCATCATTACCCAACTCTTACCGTAGATCATCAGCAGCACCATCCTCATTACCCAGCTCTTACCGTAGATCATCAGCAGCACCATCATTACCCAACTCTTACCGTAGATCATCAGCAGCACCATCCTCATTACCCAACTCTTACCGTAGATCATCAGCAGCACCATCATTGCCCAACTCTTACCGTAGATCATCAGCAGCACCATCCTCATTACCCAGCTCTTACCGTAGATCATCAGCAGCACCATCATTACCCAACTCTTACCGTAGATCATCAGCAGCACCATCATTACCCAGCTCTTACCGTAGATCATCAGCAGCACCATCATTACCCAACTCTTACTGTAGATCATCAGCCTTACCATCCTCATTACCCAGCTCTTACCGTAGATCATCATCAGCACCATCCTCATTACCCAGCTCTTACTGTAGATCATCATCAGCACCATCCTCATTACCCAACTCTTACCGTAGATCATCAGCAGCACCATCATTACCCAACTCTTACCGTAGATCATCATCAGCACCATCCTCATTACCCAGCTCTTACTGTAGATCATCATCAGCACCATCCTCATTACCCAGCTCTTACTGTAGATCATCAGCAGCACCATCCACATTACCCAGCTCTTACCGTAGATCATCAGCAGCACCATCATTACCCAGCTCTTACTGTAGATCATCAGCAGCACCATCCTTATTACCCAACTCTTACTGTAGATCATCAGCAGCACCATCCACATTACCCAACTCTTACCGTAGATCATCAGCAGCACCATCATTACCCAACTCTTACCGTAGATCATCAGCAGCACCATCATTGCCCAACTCTTACCGTAGATCATCAGCAGCACCATCATTACCCAACTCTTACCGTAGATCATCAGCAGCACCATCCTCATTACCCAGCTCTTACCGTAGATCATCAGCAGCACCATCATTACCCAACTCTTACTGTAGATCATCATCAGCACCATCCTCATTCCCCAACTCTTACCGTAGATCATCAGCAGCACCATCATTGCCCAACTCTTACCGTAGATCATCAGCAGCACCATCATTACCCAACTCTTACTGTAGATCATCAGCAGCACCATCCTTATTACCCAACTCTTACTGTAGATCATCAGCAGCACCATCATTACCCAACTCTTACTGTAGATCATCATCAGCACCATCCTCATTCCCCAACTCTTACCGTAGATCATCAGCAGCACCATCCTCATTACCCAACTCTTACTGTAGATCGTCAGCAACACCATCATTACCCAACTCTTACTGTAGATCATCAGCAGCACCATCATTATCCAACTCTTACTGTAGATCATCAGCAGCACCATCCTCATTACCCAACTCTTACCGTAGATCATCAGCAGCACCATCATTACCCAGCTCTTACTGTAGATCGTCAGCAGCACCATCCACATTATCCAACTCTTACCGTAGATCATCAGTTGAACCAGCCTCGTACCCGCCTCTTATCGTACCTCGGTTTTCTTAGGGGGAATGTGGCGGCTAAGCACGTCAGGCTTTGAGCTGGTTTAAATGTCCTCCAGGGGAACTGATTTCTATTCTGCTGAAGCTTTTTTAGTTACCTACTCCCCCAACTGAATCCCAATTGTGCTGTTGGCGTTGCGTCACGAAAATGAATAATCCGTTTGGCAATATCGCAGCGAAGTGAAACCTTCCCATGTCGGAGAATGGCTCACGGGAGTGTATATCAGAGCTTTCTCTGAGATCCCTTAAAGTGAATTGTTCCACAAAGTAGAACTTAGCAGTGGATATATCATGGATAATGCCGAGTATGAGATCGGGGCTTTGTAGTTGGTGAATTCTGGGAGTAATTGCATGGATTGCCGATCATAGGACCTGGTGTGGTCGCTGGTATTATTTGTGCAACAGTTGCACATCATTAGTCGAGAGGGACAGGCCTCAAGAGCTGGAATATTATAACTCCATTCCGAGAGATGTGCAAGTTGCAGGGTGGCTCCCGTTCACCGCTGAATCTCGGAACGCGCAAGCGGTTAGCGTTAATTTTGTTTAAGAGAGGGGGGTAGCGCCGTTGTTCATAAAGAAGTTTGTACTCGGCGCAGAGAATGGCCGAACTCTGATAGCCTAGTGCCGAACTGTGCCACGCCCTCCCGCGTCATCGGAATGGGATCGGAAGAGAAACTCATGACGTCTTCGGAAAGGGTTAAGACCAGTCGGAAAATCCACTCTTGGTGTCCCTTTCCATATGGTTTCTAGAAACTTTATAATCCTTAAGCTCTCTTTTCTTTCACCCCCCCCCCTATTTTATTCAAATTGTGCGATATCGTGTAATCACGCCATGAGAGCAAAGTGTGTATTCGGAACGCTTGCAGAGTAGTGCATCAGCCTGTATTGCGGGCAACATGTAACTTCTCCTGTGAGTTACATGGCAGTCAAACCAATGATTTTAGTTATCTGAAATTGTCTCCAGCCAAATTAAGTGGAAAATCCAATTTTAAATTTTTTTTAAGAGCTATCGGTGACCAGGCAGAAAACCATCGGCTCACGAAACTGTCCAGTTTCATCATGGGCAGCTGAAAACTCAGACTCGAATGAAGGACTTCAGCTCTTCGACCTCCGAGTCACGCGGACACCTCGTAAACTTTTATTCTCGGCGTCCTTTCAGTCGACTTTTGCGTGTAACTGTAGAGGCCATGGCACCCGAGAGGGTTCCCACTGCCCTCACGTGGGTCATCTTCGCGAATGGGGCTTGTCGTCTGAACGGAATCTCACCTGGTGAAACAGCCACTTGTTTGCCATCTGCGACTATTTTGTGGAGCGAGTAGCGTGGGTTCCTCGCCGTCAAGTTAACTTCGGTTTCAGAAGCAAAGTCAAAGTGTTGTCACATGGGCTGCAAAGGTCATTCGCATTGGTCACTTGTGGACATGGGGTCTTGGAAAATAATTGCGTGTGTCGATGCTGCTGGTAAGCGTGCCGATTGGCTAGAATTCCACCGGCCTTCCCCCCCCCCCCCCCGTGCGTGCAATTGCAGCGCGAACCGCATCGGCGCGTGATGATGTTAACGTTGACTCGCACACGCACAAATATGTGCAATGATTATAATTATCATGGCTTCACAAATAACACTTTTGCAGTTATTGTCTCGGACTAATGAACGCCTTAATAACCACCACCTTAAACAAAATGTTTGCGTAATTTACCCAGCAATTAGGCAAAGGGGAGAAGAAGTGAAGGCAGAATAACGTTTAAATGATCATCGCCCGCAGAATGCGCCAAGGGAGCCGCTCGCTGCAGCGCAGCAGCGAGCGGACTTACATTTTAACGAAGCTGTTCGTTCATATGCCTCTTAATTGGCAGGCCCCTTCACGGCAGCGCTTCCGCAGATTTCAGTTATCCCTGCTTGGTTAACGGCTCATCATTGCGCGTGCGTGCCCGGTGTCCTCTTTCCCCCCCCCGCCCCACCCCCCCACCCCCTGACTGACCCCTCTTGGCTCCTGCCTGTTCCCTGCTCACTGTGCTCACCCCCTCCTCTCTCCTCCCCCCTAGTCAGCGGACACCCTAATCATCTGTCGTGACTTCAAATCGGGCCACTGCACTCGGCCAAACTGTCGCTTTCTCCATCTTCTGGAAGGTAGGGGCCTCTCATGCCTGGCTTGGCCTCTGCTTGCCCTGGCTTCTCCCTCCGTCTCGTGTGGCACGCTTTGTGTCGCCGCCGTTGCCGCCGCCGCCGCCGCCGCCGCTGCCGCTGCTGCTGCTGTGGGATTCGTCTTGTTTGGTTTTGTTTGATCATCTTTGTTTGTTTTCTGTGGTTCATTCTTTGGGGAAGGTTTGCGAATTGGCGTGACTTTTGTGCGTAAGGGGGGTGTCAATGCGGAGGTGTTAGGTGAAACGATAATTGCCGGAGGTGCGTTGAAGCCTCGAACGAAACGTTCTTTAGAATTAAACCCCTCAGCAGCTCACTCCTGATTGGCACGGGTGATGCAAGAAATCTCGATGTTAATTGCGGGCATATGTGAAAACGTCCATTATTTCGTCACGAGATTAATGTTTTTACTCTATGCTTCCCCAGGAAAGCTTTTGTTCGGAGGAATCAGCTAAGATCTCACATTATGGGGGAGCGATGTTTACCATGCGTGTCCATGTTAAGTAATTTGCGGATAATTAGTCAAATTTGGCAACATTTTAGGCGCCATACCCCCCCCCCCCCCCCGGGCACACGCTGGACCCACGCTTCTTCGAGTGACGGGGGAATCTCTTTAGCGTGCACCGTGAAGCGGAGTGCACGTGATATTTTGGTCGATACGCCGGCAGTATTAACCAGGGCGCGTGCTGTTGCATTCGAAAGCGTAAACCTCTGCGACAAAACTACAAACCACTGGGCCGTGTCAACACCGCCTCCGCATTCCGACACGGGCAACGCGGTGAAAACTCCCAAGTGCTTGGCCTCGCATCTTTATCTTGCATCGGTAATCATTCGTATTGGGATATGCTCAGTTTAACACGTAGGTTTTCGCGATCAATATTATTCATAATAAAGTTTTTGGGTTAGATCGCGTTATTTATAAATGTGTTATAACCCTCCGCATTCCGACACGGGCTGCGCGGTGAAAACTCCCAAGCGCTTGGCCTCGCATCTTTATCTTGCATCGGTTAATCATTCGTATTGGGATATGCTCAGTTTAACACGTGGGAGGCTTTCGCGACCAATATTATTCATAATAAACGTTTTTGGGTTAGATCGCGTTATTTATAAATGTGTCGTAACCCTCCACCACCCGACACGGCCAATCAGCCTGAAATCGAGCAAGTGAGGGCTTCACCATTCTGGCGAATTGCCCAATGATGCTGGATGTAATTACTAGCGAAACGTCGTACTCAATAACTGTAAATGTTGTGGATTCACTCTTCAACACACCGGTGGGCTAAAGTAGTGAACTATTCTGTCTTTTGTCAACGTGACACATTTTTTTGCTGATTGGCCATGTCGGGTGGTGGAGGGTTATGACACATTTATAAATAATGCCATCTAACCCAAAAACGTTTATTTGGGATATGCTATTCGGCTTTTGGAATGTGTTTGAAAGCCAAGGCATGGTTTCTGGTTTGTGTCTCGCAGAGTTTGCACAAGTATGTGTGAATTAGCGGTACGGTAATGCAAATCACGCTTTAGTGCAGACGTTCCTTTTGCCCGAAAAAAAAAATTTAGTTAAAAAATTTGCTCGTAAATGGCAGTATTTTTGAAATGAACAAGAGCCTTACTTGGGCTACGTAACTTTATCTCGCAAATTTGAAATGTTGGATATTTAAAATCAAAACATTCTTGAGAAGTTGCAAGAAAGATTTGGTTGGATTGGCACCAAAAGCCATACAGCCACAAGTTAAATCGGTATCCTAATTACTTATCGAATTGTTTACGTCAAAGCCGCCATTCACAGGCATCTTCACATTAATTCCATTTATTTTTACGTTATTAATATGGCCTTACCATGAAGTATTAAACCATCTGGCTCTGTATGATTTTACACTCAATTTAGTTTTCTCTCTGATAAAGTTATTGCATTTCATGTTTACATATTTTGAACACCCCCCTGCACCCGCCCCCCTCCCCCCCGCCTTTTCTGTGCATATAATTTTGACATGAGCAGTCACTTCCAGGAATGGGTTTGTTATGCACAGGATTATTTTACGTAATTAATTTAACCATGGCCAATAAAATGCTGCACAAACGTAAAGTGGGGTTATTCTTGACAAGATTTAATATTAAAAAAATAACCAACTGCACCAATAGAGTGTAAGTGTTTAAATATTGGATGGAAAGTTTTAGAGGAATAGTTTCGATGTTAGTTTCATGACTTCCTCTCTCCACCTCTCCCGTGGATTGTGGAATTCCACAAACCTAAAATGGTCCGTGCATATCGAATACATTGTGTTTGATAAGGAGACACTAATCCGATGTGAAAGATGTATATTGCATTTGCAACACTTCACAGCTTAGTCGAATATTTATCTTCTAGCGTCGCTGCGTTTATGGCCGCCATAATATTCTCTGTGTTGTTGCCATTATCTGCTCTCCCGAGTTATCAAACCCCGGCACCTTAAAAATTTGTGGGAAGAAATTATTGAGTTGTAGTGTTTATTTACGTCTGCAGCGTTGAGAATGCCCAGAGAGGAGATTATTCCGGTCGAAGGCAGTGAAAGGCTCGCGCAGGTTTAACTCGGCCGCAAATAAATTCCCATTTGTTTGTTATTCCTCCGAGACAGCAGAGAAGCAGATCTGACAGCCGAATTATTAAACTCACCAGACTTGGCGAACGTTAGGATAACTTCTGTGTGGTGCCTTCATCAGAACATCCAATGTGCCGGGGCCGGAGTGGGCCTGCTTGCCAGCAAGTCACGCTTGCCAGGAAACAGAGGTCGCAAACGGGTTTTGATTCCTTACCCGTACCCGTACCCGGCCGCACCAGGGTCGCAAACGGGTACCCGTACCCTACCCGATACCCGGCTACCCGTACCCGACCAGGTATCGGGTAGGGTACGGGTACGGGTACCCGATTGCGACCTCTGGGATGAAGCCACGTTGCAGTGGTGGGTGGGTTGATTCTAGGAACTTGAATTGTGAGAAGAGACAAGACGTTGGGAAATGAGTGACAAACGATTACTCACCAGTGACTCACGGTCTACCCGTACCCGGCCGCACCAGGGTCGCAAACGGGTACCCGTACTCGGATGGGTACGGGTCGCCGGGTATCGGCTAGGGTACGGGTATCGGGTACCTGATTGTGACCTCTGCCAGGAAACCATCGGCGCATCAGCCTGGAAGGATATATATTTTGTAATTCTTTCACCGAAATTTTAATGGGGCGAAATGTCACATCTCACCACCGCGGTGCTGCCCCGCTTCTGTGCGCGGCTCGCAGATTACGAACCGGTCACAGAGCGCGCAGCAGAGATGGTTGGGGGCTGAGCTTTGCGGAGAGGGTAGCCCCACTGGTAGCGAGGTTGAGCAGCATGCCATTAAAACGCCGTTGAGAGAGAGAACAACTGTGGGAAAGGAAAAAAGCGAGTGCTTCTTCAGATGTGATCTCATATCAAGTCCCAAATTGGAAATAAGTGCCGCAGAGTGCCTGAAAAAGGCTAACAAACTAATGGAAAAAACCTCAAAAGCAAGCAAAGTCAAAAGCTGAATCTGGTTAAGTCGGTGGTGTACGCGACTCCCTTTATCTCATCTCCTAGGCTCTTTTTACTCACAAAACAATTGCAAGAACCAGCAAACCTTCTGTCGCGCGCTGCCTCGCATGCCACATTCGTTTTGTCCGTTTTGCTTTCTCCTCTGTGCGTGTCTCTGTATGCCATCGTTTTCACTGCTGCCACGCCATGTAATGTTTTCAGTGTTCGCTTTGCGCTACTTCAAAAGTGTCACGGGTTTTCTTTTTTGCTCTGCATCTGGAAAAGAAACAAAAGAAAATCCCTAATCAAAGCAGAAGCCCCTTTTTTATAGAACGGTAGACGGCCACGTTGATGCGTTTGAATTGAGGTTTTCGTGAAATGAGACGTTGTAGCAAATGTGTGCGGTCTTTCAAAATTGGGGTGACTGCTGCAGGAGGCGTAGTTTAATTGAATGTCCTCTGCTTGTCATCTCTTCGGTTAAATTGGTTCACGATTCGTACGATGTTAAACTGTGGTAATTGCCTCCCAACTTCACTTGAACCACGCTTCCTTTACTTGTCATGAGAGACCTCAAGCCAATTTCTGTCATCCGACTTTCAACAGTATAATCCTTACGTCTGCAAGGATGGTGGAAACAATACATCGTGAGGAGCGTGGCTAGCAGTGCACGGTGTAATATTTGCATTGTCAGAATTACCCTCGTGTTGAAAGACCCGTTAAAACTGTTGTGCGTTCGGTTAGTCGGGAGGTGTCACCGCCATGGCAATGTGCATGCAGGGCATCTTTCAGTGGCAGTAACCGAAGAGATATGACCACGACAGACCGTGTCATGCTATGTAAGTCAAGCCAAGGTTTACTTTATTTACCCACAAAACCTTGGCGCAACGTGGCCACCGCTTGGCTGCCTGTTTGTATCGCCAGTCTTTTATTTGTTTTTATCGGCGGCAGGATTTCGCTAATTACATTTTAACAGTGAGGGTTGTTGTGCCTCTTTCAAGCTCTGCCCCTGTGGTTGCCAAACCCATCCGACTCACCTGAGACCCCTTCTGAATTGGCAGTACCGTGGTGTGTCAGCAGAAGTGCCCGTCGGCTGACTCTCACAGTCACTCTTAAGGAGACCAGTGGCCCTGACCGATGCCACCTTTCCACAGACGGATGGGGAACTGTTCTGGCCCGGTGCGCTTGTACCTTTGTTACTCATTGAGCCCACCTTCTCACACGCCTTAAAAACCAAACAACGTTTGGTTTATTGTCTGAGTAGCCTCAGCCGTCCAGGGGGGGTGATCTCAGTCTTTCTGGAGTGATCTCAGCCCTCCCGTGGAGATCACATCCTCCCTGGGGAGATGTCATCCCTCCCGGGGTGATATCTCAGCCCTCCCGGAGGGAGATCTCAGTCCTCCTGGGGTGATCTCAGTCCTCCTGGGGTGATCTCAGCTCTCTCAGAGGGTGGTCTCAGCCCTCCCAGGATGATCTCACCCCCAATTCAGCTTGCCATAAACACGTGTTCCGTAACACTGCGTTTGTCCTCGTAAGTATTGCACGAACCATGGGTGACCGTTACTTTTCATGCTGCACAGCGAGATGAGGTCACGCGGTGCGTGACATGGGACGTAGAAGGGTGGAGACCCCGCACGAAAGTGACGTCATCGCCATCACCGTCAAGGATGAGCCTTTTAGCGCTGGTTTTTTTTTATCGCCCAAGTTCTATGCAAGTCTTTCACTCACGGTGGCAGATTTGCTCTGGGATGGGCCCCTAATAGTGACACAACTTTACACGGACTTTTTGTTGACGTTGGATCATCTGGACAAGAGCAAAGAGTGTGCCCCTCCACAGACAGACAGATGGACAGAAACGATGCATTCACACTTTCAACTTCAGTTGCAAAGTGATCATAAACCACTCTTTATGACGTGCCCTGTGTTATGAGCGCCTGGCAGAAATATGTAAATGGGAAAGCCATCTTAGCTGGGGGGAGAAGTACAATTGGTGTCGGGGAACAAACAGTGCATATTTTTTATATACATATAGAGCATGTTTAGTGCATATATTTCTAATATATATTATGTAAAGCATATTGATGTGTTTTATATTATGGGTTGATATTATTTTTATATTACAGAAAAACTGGCAAACAATTTGAACTCCCCCCAGGCAAGATGGTATCCCTATTAACATACTTAAAATGTCATCATATTCCAGCGAACTCCTGTTATATCTAACAATAATAATTTTTTAACGTTTGAAATTGATGCCATTTCTGTAGCCACAGGGCTATCACGAAGGCTCCACGTATCGCAGATGGATTAGTCTGCCGGTGGAGGCGGGGGGCGGGGCGTGATGATTCTGTTGTGTTCCCAGTCGAGTAGCTTTGTGGGTCACCCTTCAAATTTGGACCACGTTTGTCGGCACACAATCACCGCAACCTCACGACATCATTAGATCTTTCACGTTCACTGTGAAGCGGACAGCGCGTGCTTTTACGGTTCAAGGACCTCCCCCCCCCCCTCCCGGATGCTGGACCAGAACTGGGCTATTGTTCCTAGGCTGTTCCCTGGGCTTGGCAGATTGGGGTTCCAAGTGGCGTGAGGCTCCGAAGATCAGAGAGAGCACAAAGGCAGCCAGCGACGGTGGGGAAGGTGGGGGAGGCAGTTACAAAGTTAGAAAGTTTTTACGTTGCTTCTTTTCCCCCACTTTTATCCCGTTAGTCCCATCGAGATGGTATTACATGATAAAAAGTATCATGGCACCATCTTTTCGAGGTGCGATTCATGAATCCTGTTCCTTGCTGATGATGTCATTCATTGGCTGCTTCAATCAAGGCAATAGCTGCAGGCCACACAGAAACGCTTAGGGGCGACATTTCAACGTGTATTCTCATTTCTTACCCAATTATATCCCAGTTGTGCTCTCGGAATCACGGCACGAGACGAAATATCCATTCGGATCTCTCGCAGAGCAGTGTAACCATTCTTGGAGGAGAACTACCAACGGAAGCGTTGACGACTGGGGCACTACAGAATGTGGCCAGGCCATATGACGGACAATCTTGAGATTAACATCTCCCATAAAATTCCCCTGACGTCAGCGGAATCGATTTTCGCTCAGCAGTTCCATAATTATGTAGAAGTTTTTTTAAAAAAAATCCAGATGTATCTGCGCCGTATTGTTCCTCCAAACACATCTGGAGCTAATTGTGATGAGACACACCCCCTTGTGTGAGAAAATTGCACGGTTTCCCAATGAGGGTGATTGTGTCCACTCTCGTTGCCTCCACGCGGGCAGAGGCACACGAGAGAATTCCAAGCGGGGGCCCCCGTGCACGATGGCTTGCGGGGGATGCAACGATCCACCCATCGAGTTCATGTCGATTTTTTAAAGCTCGCGATGCATGCGTAGATGCGCATGTGTAAGAACCTCCACGCCTCGATAGATTCGTGTACGCCTATCGTGTGCCGTGGGTTCGTCCGTGTGTTCCCTGTGACCGCTGGAGATCGCTAGATTCGCCATTCTTGTAGAAAACTCAAATTGAAATTGTGACGACAAATCGGACGGGGTGGGGTAAAATTGTGAATTGTGGCAATTCTGGTGGCTTTGTGTTGTGCCACTAGTCTGTAGAGGGGGGGGGGGACATCGTAGCGTAGTGCTGGGACGGTTTGGCAGGTGCAGGCTGCGTGCGGTGAGTGCTCCGCAAGGTTAATGACAAACCACAGTGCCACAGTTGCCACAGTAGTGCGACTGTGGCCTTGCAAGGCAAACTGTGGACCGTATGGCAAACTCACTTCGTCAACAGAGGAGGAGGAGGAACAGCAAAACTGCACAAACTCACTCTCCTGAAGCTCTCTCGTGGTGGCGAAATTAGCAGGGCTCTAGACATTGCCATTGAGCTCCTGAACCACATTGCTGCCATTCGCAAGGAGAGAACGGAATGGTGCCCCAGAGTGCGTGCATGGGTGTGTTTGCGCGCGTCGCGCTCGTGACGCGGTGTCGAACCTGCCCCCCCCCCCCCCCCCCCCCCGTCGCTGTTTTGCAGATCATGTTGAAATAGTGGAGGATCGCGTGACGGTCTGCCGTGATGCCGCCAAGGGAAAGTGCTCGCGTCCGCTCTGTAAATACTACCACCCGCCCGCCGCCAGCTCGCACGCGGCCGCAGCAGCAGCCGCCGCTGCCGCCGCCCAATCGGGCCTGCTGCAGTTTGCATGCTGAGCTCCAATGCCCCCCCCCCCCCCCCGCACACGTGCACCACCAACCCCTCCACCCCTTCGCCCCCAACTCCCCCGCTCCCACCCTGCCTTGCACCGTCTGACACCCACTGCCTACATGCCCCCCATAGCTGGCTGCTTTCCTCCCTGCCCCACCCCCTCCTCCCCCCCCCAACCTTTCCTCCCCACATCCTCCCACACTTTATACAGCAGCAAAGGGGGCGTGATGACAAAATATATATTTCCCGGTACCATTAGTGCGTTTTTTGTTGTTGTTGCTGTTGTGTACCATCCACGCAATTGAGGGATTTGGTTCACTTTTCAATTAATGCTCTTGAAGTGCAGTACAGCTCAATCGGCGTTTAGTCGACGATTACATTTAATTATTACGGCTGCGGTAAAAGGGAAGGAATAAAACTGATTGGCATCAATGATCCTTTCGTAATGGGGCAGTTTGGTATATATAGGTTAACAAGTGCATGCTCTTGATGGGAAATTTCCGTATCTTATGTAGAGTATTTGTGAAAAGAACTTTAACAGTATGGCTCATTTAGACAGCATAGTGGTGCATGTTTGTGTTTAGCAATGGAAATGACATGCTCTTGGATTAGTCAAGGAAAGTGATGTTCCAGAAGATGAGAAAATGGAAGATTAGAAATTTAGTTATGTCTGCCTCCTGGAATCTTAAACAGTTTGCACGGATATTAAAAATTTGGCAAAGGCATGATGGCAACTTCAAGAGCACCGATCTTGAAAAGTTGGATTGGCAAAAAACAAAAAATAACCAACACTGACAACAAGAAAAAAAAAACCAGATGCGTCTGCAGTCAGACCCGCGTGGTGAGTAGGAACGAGACGCCGGGGACGGCAAGGCGAGGCACGTTTTTCACATTCCCCATCGCACGACCCGTCGCGCCCACGGACTTCGTCGCTCGCCACCCGATGAAGGTTCCGTCACGCACGACCGGCGAACATCCCGTCCGCTCCCCGTCGCGCGACCCCCCCCACTCCTCCTTCCTCACTCCCCTCCTCCACCCACAAACCCCAGGCGCCGTGATGGCGTGGCAGCAGCAAGCCCCGCCGTGGCGTACCGCCCGGCCCCCCACGCTCGATTGGCCCCGTTTTAGAGTTTTTGAACACGGTCGAAGGAAGTTCTTAAAGAAAAAATAGCCTAATTTTTATTTCGTCTCGACCTAAAATATTGAATTGGGACTAGGGTATCCGTTGATGTAAGGTTAAAGAAATCAGCAGAGGTGGGACAAAGTCATTGTTATGCAAGTCCAAGTCGAGTCTGAAGTCATCAAATTCATGACTCGAGTCTGACTCGAGTCCAAGTCACATGACTCGAGTCCACACCTCAGAGGTGGGACAAAGTCATTGTTATGCAAGTCCAAATCGAGTCTGAAGTCAAATTCATGACTCGAGTCTGACTCGAGTCCAAGTCACATGACTCGAGTCCACACCTCTGGAAATCAGTCGTCGTGATACCGTCTGAACTTTTGTGTTCTGCGAGATTCCTCCCCACGTGATGTTACATCCGTGACGAAACATTGAACCAGAGCTGCAGTCGCTTTTCTCTAAAGTTTTAGTTTGAGGGCAGCGGCAAAATTCCACTGCTGAAATGAAAAGTAAATACTATTTTAAGCGTGGGTTTAAATTAGCGTAATTGTTCAACCTTCTGACGTCAAAGCATGAAGGTCTCGCTGACCTGTTGTTGGTCTCGGACACAGTGTGATCCGCTTTGACTCCAGCCGACTGATTGGGCTCGGTGTTGGTTTTTCTTGGGTCCCCTCCGTTTAGTGGAGCGCATGCTGTTAGATCTTGGGAAGTCAGGGACTGTGCTGCGATGGTTACAGAGCACTCGTCGCTTGTGTTTTGTGTTCGCATTTCACGCTGGAAAAAGCAGCCCCCCCCCCCAACCAACAACCCCTTTCCTCGCTAATCCTTCCCCCCCGCTCGCCAGAGTAGTTTCGTTCATTCACATAAAGTTGGCGCTTAGCTCGTAGTCACTGGCGTGGCATCGAGTAAAAGAAATTGTGCAATCTTGAGTAATCGACAAATATTTTATTTTAAATATATCCCCAAAAGTCGCGAGACTATAAAATGCTTTAACCAAAAAAAAATATCTTGCTACTAAGAAACTACTGCAGTCGCTGTTGGCAGTCGACTCTAAACTAGATTTCTTGACCAATTGAGAAGTAAGGTTAAATGTTAAAAGCTTACGTTAAATAATGAATTGTTACTACCTTGCATGCATCCTGAACTGCTCGTCGTAAAACTTTCACCACTTACTGTAGCAGGAGGTAGTCCTCGAGTTGTCAGTCCCACGCGTGGCAGAACGGGCACGCGTTCTGGCCATTGTAAACAAACGCAAGTGTTACTCTTCGTGCGGCGAATAGGGGACAGCACGGCGATGTATTTCTCAAGTTGTGTGCTTTCAGCAAGGTTCTGTGAACCACGCGAGTAGCAGCAGCAGCAGTAGCAACAGCGGCGGCGGCGGCGGCAACAGTTCGCAAGGCTGCGCACGTTTAAAGAAAGACAGAGACGACCTTGCCTCTGTGCGCGTTTTACGACGTTTTGAGTTTTGAGCGTGTGCCATCCAAGGCATCGTCTGATGTGAACCTGAATCGTTGTGCCATTCCGCATTTTTAAAAATTTCAACGAAAATAATGTTAATATTACGTTCGAGGATTTTAATATTCATCTTAATATATGCCTACAGTCAATAATTAATTGAAATGATGCCTCTTTCAAATTGAAAGTTGTTCGAAAGGAAATTCCTTTGGATGTTTTGATTTCTTTCTATATTTCGGTTCCACCTTCTCGGGGCAGCCCTCTCTCGGTGGTGGGAGAGGCATCCGAGGCACACGCACTCCCCCTCTTCATCCGCTTGCCAGGCCGCCAAAGCCTGCGCGCTTGATTCGGAATGCTGTTGCGGACAAAGCCGTCGAGGATGACACGAAAAAAACAACCAACCCCATATTTATAGCGCGTTAGCGACCATTGGCATTAAGTGCTGCTGGTGGGCACTCCCGTTTCTCGAAGCCGACTTGGAGCGGCGTTTGTGGCCAGTACCCCAGTAACCCCTCACCTGACCGCTTTTCCTCTTTCTTCCTTCCGTCTCGCTGCAAATCAAAATAGCGCTCTTAAGCCGATCTCGCCGACTGTTGGGAGGGGGGGGGAGGGCAGAGGCCTTTGCAGGGAACGGAGGTCGGGGTCGACGTTACGGGATGTTGTTTTTGTTTTGACGTCGCGAACGTTCCCGCGATTTGCACGCGCGTCGCCCGCCAGCCCGCCCGCCGCCCCGCGTCTCTTGGCATCGCCGCAGGCCGGGGCCGGTTCGTTGTTCTGTTGGGGTTTGTGTCCGGGAAGCGGGGGGAGCAGATCCACGCGGGCTCCAGGTCGGATGACAACACGCGGTGACTTGTGGAGCGCACCGATCCGGACCGGACCCCCTCTCCCACCACCACCACCTCCCGTCTCGACCTCTGCTCCCCCCCCCCCCCCCCCAGTCTGTCGCAACGTCGGTGGTTCGTCAGAACTGACCTTGGCCTTTGCTCGCACGCCCTGCTGAAAGTACGGTTCTCAAATTGAGAAATATGTTGTAGCTCGGGATGAGACATTTTTACATTGTATTATACATACTTTTAAGGCCTTAGTTGTTTTTACGGGTTGCATCCCAGACACGTACGTTTTCATTATTAAAAACATTAGAGTGACTAGTCTATATGTCATTTTAGGGTATTAAGACCGCACTTAACAAATCTATGTATTCATTATTTTTTAGTTTTAATGGTAGAGTTTAAATATTTTTTATGCTTTCGAGTTTTCTTTATAATAAGCTTTTAAGGGTGTGTTGGTTAAATTTGAATCTACTAGATATACAAAAGGACTAAAACTATTACGGATGTTGATTTGAGTATAGTGTTTTATTGTCATAACCTAAACATTAACATTTATTTTGTGTGTTCTGTCTGTAAGCCATGTTATTACGAGTATTGCCGTTTATTTTATTGTGATAGCCGTTGGTTTTTATCCAGTGTCGTTTACATTTCAAGAACAAAGGCATTTAATGCATGTTTCTTTTGGGCAAAGATTATCGGAGGAAAACAACACAAACCTGAGTGTTCTTAAAGCTGTGTTTTCTCAGACACGGACAAAAAAACCACGTTCCATGCGAGTGATAGTACAGTTCTCTCGTGTCGTTAACGAAAGGAAAAAAAATCGCGGTATTAAATACAGGTTTCTATAAAGTGCCGTTCAAATATAATTAAAACTTAAAAAGTGCTTGAATTGCCAATGTTCGCCGGGATTTGAGATTCGCATGCCCGGTCACAAAAGTTATATTCTGTGATTGTGTTGTGTGTGCGTGCGCGTGCAAACCAACATCATCATCATCGTCATCAGTGTGATGTCATAACTTGGTTGGGTAAGTGAAACCTGAACTGCATCAGTCGATAAACGAAATGAGGGGGGTGTAATTCGTGGTGCGCACTCAAATCCATCCGGAATGGGACACTCCCCAACCACGTTTCGTGTTGTGCATATGGGCCTGGTATAACTCGAGTTAAGTGTGAGGGTGGGGAACCGTCGCTTACTGTTGAAACTACGCGATCCCTAATTGTGGTGACGTTAATATGTTTCTATTACGAGCAAACCAAAGTTTAACGGAGAAAGGGGAGAGAAAAAAAAACTTGGTGGTTGTAAGTGCAACTTATATACAGTGGCTTCAGAATTGTGCTTTAGATGCTGGTGGAGAGGAAGAGGTTGTGTATGACGACATTTTTGCACTTCTGTACATAGTCAAAAAAAGGGGGGTGAGAGAGAGAGAAACAAAAAAAGAGATAGATTAAAAAAAAAGAAACGTGTAAAATATCAAGATCTTATTTTGAATAAAAATGTCTATAAAGTGAAGAGGCTTTTTTGTCAAGGTTAAGCAGCTGCCGTCAGTGCAAAAGCAAAAAGCTTGCAAGAAAAAGGCAAAAATGTTGTGCTTTGCTTCATACGGACAAAGGCTTTGGAGCTTGTGTGTAGTTTGCTAAAGGAAGGGGGGTTTCGAGTCACGTTTGCACAGTGAGCGCACAGATGCAGGAGCAATGGGGGACACACACGAGGAGAAGGCACAGAGGCACAACTTTGCTTTGACGGTGAATCGGCCGCAAACCACACGGAGCACTGCACGGGGGGACGGGGGCGTCTGCAGTCACAGCCCTCGTCTTCGCCCGCTCACTCGCTTGCTTTTAAACGCTTCCACTTTGTTCCGTCAACAAAAGATAACACACACATAACGCACAGTGTTTTTAACCCCCCCGTTAAGGCAAGAAAGATAAACAATAACAGACATCGAGAAACTGAAAAATAAACGGATAACAAAAACGTAAAATAATTACAGACTTATACTTGGTCATTATGATTAAACAAAAAAAAAAGAGAAAAATTAAATAAAAATACAAAAAAATAAAAAACAAAAAAATTAAATACATTAAAATGGTAATTATAATAATACATATATGCCTGTTTGGACTAAGACGTCGTGAAATAATCATATACATTACAGTACTCATTTTCGTATAGCTAGTCGCAAAAGCCAAAACCTTTTATTTTTTGCCAACGTTTCGGTGGCAGCCATTCCGCTTGCAAGCGGCTTAAGGGGAATGGTGAATCAAAAAGCCTTCTGGGTCTCGCAGGGCACGAGTGCATTGCCACTTGCAGTGGGCTGTCCAGACGTCTCATTGTGTGGTCCCCCCCCCAGTCACCCACCCAAGTTTTGAGGATTCCAGGAAAGGAAAACCCCACAAACAAACCCACACAACGTAATGGTCACTTGCTGCTGTATTGCTTGACACCCGTACGTACAATTCGCAGCCGCTACAGCGAATTCACGCCGTTTTGTTTCGTGCCCGTTTGGCCGGTGGGATATTGTCGAGTTTTAACTCGACAGATTTGGGCATTGTTGGAAAAATCTGATCAATTTTACTCGCAATGTTAGTTACAGTCTCGCTCAGAATGAACGTTGCCGTGACGCGAGTCACAATGCGCTTTCGTGCAGCTCACCAGGAATCTTAAAAAGGTGTTGGAAAATCTCACAACGCAGTGAAATTGATAATATTTGTTTTCCCAACAACAACAAAAATGTGTCTTAGAGAATAAATGTTCAGTGTGTTGGGGGGGGGGGGTGAACGATATTTTGAAACTGGAGCCCGATTTCCTTCTCGGTGATGGTCTCGGTTGTCCGATTCTGTTTTTATTGGTCATTGTTCGATGATGTATCGTCAAACAAAACAAATGTTCAAGTCGGATTAAAAACAAACAAACCCACCCCGCCCCCCACGATCCAGATCCGGGTCTGCCGTTCGTGGTGAAAACAAAAAACCGTCTCACTTTTTTTTATTCGGCCGTGGATATCCCGACAGAGGAGTGCCACGACACAAAATAAATCAAGCGCCGAATGGCAAAGCGTGTTCTTTGCGCCACCGCATTCCACGCGCGCTCGAGGGTTGGGAAGATCGTGGCGGGTGCTTTCCGCCCCAGACACTCTGCCGCTTTGGTGTTCTTCACTGATTTTCAGAGGGGGGGCAGCTCGCCCCCCACCCCCACCCCCCCACATTCGCCGATAAGACATCAAATTTCGATTTAAAGCTTTCGTGACTGCAGGGATTCATCTTCTTGGTTTTTTCGGTGAAGTCACGTAGAATGGAAATAATAAAATATTAAAAAATAAAACGTAATAAAATAATTCCCACGACGTTTCGGCCACAACGCAAGCAGCCGTCCTCAGGTGAAGAACAGGTCTGTCGAGAAGACCATTCAGACTCTGTCTTCTCGACAGACCTGTTTTTCACCTGAGGACGGCTGCTTGCGGTGTGGCCGAAACGTGAGAATTATTATGTTTTATTATTTTATTATTTCCATTCTACGTGACTTTACCGAAAGAACCAAGAAGAAGACATCATCAGTGTGTGAAGGTGCCGTCTTTTTACACCATTGGGCGGGGGGGGGTGTGGCAGCACGATGATGGGGGGGGGGGGGGTCACTCTGTGGGTATTGTCACGGGGGGGGGGGGGGGCACTAAGGGGCCACCAGGGCCCCGCAATGAAGAGCGCTGCTCTGCTGCCACTTGCTCGAGGCATGGCTGCAACGGTTTCGCTTCGCGCTCCGCATTTTATCTTGTTTTAGTTTGTATGTGCTTAGCCACCCATACGCGCTATACGCTATAAGAATTAAGTTTTCACTTGTTATGCTTGCTATCGCTTGTATGGTAAAAACAAAAAAAATAAAAATAAACAGTTGCAAAATCGAGCGTTCGCTTTCGAGCCACTCCCTGCCTCCCCCGCCGCGGTTCTTGATTTTCTACGTCACGCCAAGTTGCCCCCAAGTCGCCTGCGACAACTTTCAAGCTCTCATTTCTTCTACCGAGTGGAGAACGCAAAGAGACCAGGATGCGGAGTCACTTTTGCAAGGGGGTGGGACCTGGAGCATCAGTCTGCCAGTGTAGGGGGGCATGGGGTGGGGGAGCGATGATTGCTGCTGCTGTGTCGAGTCCCAGATTTGAGACATTTAGCGGTGTATTTTTAGAAACTTATCAAAGTGTGGACAACGGCCGCCGGTCGCACACAGTTGGCCTGCTCTTGCGAATTACCTCGAGGGATCTTTAACGTGCACTGTGAGTGAATTCCGACGGCGCGTGCTATTATTATTACTACGACGGTTAGCACACCCGCAGCGATAACCAGGGTGGCCGCTTGACGCGAACCGTGAACCTCCGCAAGAAACGGCGAAACGCGCTGCCGCTGGGCTCTGTTTGTTGAATGTTTTAAAATAAAACTAATTTGTCATTTCCCCCCCCTCCCCCCACTATTTATGAACATTTGTATAAGGCGTGACGACACATCGATAAGTTTTGTCTCGCTTCGGACGTGTTCCGATGTCACCCCAATGCTATGCTGCGTTTAGTCTGCGGACACCACCACGTGACCATCACTTTTTACCGTATTCTCCAGAATATAAGATCCCCCCCCCCCGTATTAAGTGTGTGTCTATCTAACATATATAACGTTATTGATACGAGGCACACGTTCGGAGTGCATTCTGTGTTTCAGAGCGTCTTATAATCTGGAGAATACGGTAAATATAAAACCTAACTCACATTCTTGGTTCTTTCGGTAAAGTCACGTAGAAGGGAAATAATAAAATAATAAAAATCAAACCATTTTATTGTAAACTATTTTATTGTTTAATTTTTTTATTATTTTATCATTTCCCTTATACGTGACTTTACCGAAAGAACCAAGAATATGAATCCCTGCAGTCACGAAAGCTTTAAATCGAAACGTATCTTACACTTGATTTTTTTTCCTTTGATCAAAGGAAAAAAGATCGAGACGGGCGGGGGAGGTAGACCAAGTTCCCGAGAAGATGCAGATGCGGAGAAACCAGATCGTTGAACCCTCCTCCTCCTCTGTTCTCTGTCCAGAGTGGCGAAGGGGCAACACTTGTTCATCACACTCACAAAGTGACACGGTTCGAATCCCATCTCGGGCGCCTTCAAGCTTGGAGTTTCTTACGTTCCCCCCATGGTGTGCATGGGTTTCCTCCCGTAGAATGGAAATAATAAAATAATACAAGTAAAACGTAATAAAATAATTCTCACGACGTTTCGGCCACAACGCAAGCAGCCGTCTTCAGGTGAAGAACAGGTCTGTCGATAAGACAAGAGTCGTGACAATTGTTTTATTATGTTTTATTTTTATTAGTTCCATTCTACGTGACTTTACCGAAAGAACCAAGAAGACGAATCCCTGCAGTCACGAAAGCTTTAAATCGAAATTTCTCCCGTAGTTAAAAAAAAATCAACCCCACACACAATGTAACTGGTATTGGCCAAACATCCCTATGCCGAAAAGATGTACCTGCAATCGACTCGCTGGATTTAAAAGACAAAGATGTCTTTGACAGACTGTTAGGACAAGCGCTGTTAGCGAGCACCTATGAAGGCCGGCACGGTATACGAGGGTGGGTGGCCAGCACCACACACAAAGACAAAGATCCCCCGTATAGACTTTAACAAACTTAGGGCAAGTGCTGTTAGCGAGCACGTATGGAGCTGGCATGGTACACGAGGGGGTGGCGTGACCAGCACCACACCGCAGCATCAACTTCGCCCTCCTACTACTAAAACTTGGAGTCGAGACTCGGTGACGCATTCCTGGGTAAACATGCACAACAACAATTATACGTCAGACATTCTCAATGGTTGCGAGAGAACCTATAAGTCTTTCAATACAATACACAGCTTAACACGTACCAGGCTGTCGCGACCAATGTTCATAATAAACGTTCTTGGGTTAGATCGCGTTATTTATAAATTGTCGTAATCCTCGACCACCCGACACGGCCAATCAGCAAAAAAAGTGTCACGTTGACAAAAAGACAAATAGTTCACTGCTTTAGCCCACCGGTGTGTTGAAGCATGAAACCACAACATTTACAATTTTTGAGTACGACGTTTCGCTGGTAATTGCATCCAGCATCATCGGGCAATTCGCCCGATGACACTTTTTTTTGCTGATTGGCCGTGTCGGGTGGTGGAGGGTTACGACACATTTATAAATAACGCGATCTAACCCAAAAACGTTTATTATGAACAGGTTGGCAGAAGAGTCGAGGAAACAGGCTATTTGAAATTTCAACAAATCACATTTTGGCGTTAATTTATTGTCACAAGTGTTAAACAAAACGGATTCTCATTAACACGAATGCATGCACGCGTGAAGTCTCTTATGAAATTAATGTGGACTATTTGTTGTGGTAAAGGCCACGCGTGTGACCTTTGACCATTCATCGATTCAGTTTGGTCTCAATTAATTCTACTTAATGACACCTACAAAGGAAGGAAGAAAAAAATAAGAGATATTAGTCGCGATAATAGAAAAAATACGAACTTAAATAATTTAAATGTTTTAATGCCAGTGCTAAAGTTAAGTAAATAGCCCTGTGTGTCCTGACTTTTGGGCCACCCTGTACATATTGCGCTATGCGTGCCGATTATTCATGTGCGTTTTGCAATAACGTATCAACTCAAAACAGCATTTGGCCGTTCTTGCAACGAACTTATAAACTCGTTGATCTCGTCAAGGGGCATCAATCATCACGCGACCTCTGCTCATCATCGCAGCAGCGGCGGATTTTGGCTTCCTGTCAAACCAAGACGGCGATCACCGCATCGCGTGCTTTCAGATGCGCTTCTGCGGCCGTCTGGAACGCTCTTCCTGCCGATATGAGCAAACCACTGGAGCTATGCACTTTGCGCTCTAGATTGAAAACTCGTTTCTTTAGAAATACTTTTTGTGGTTTGTTCTTCCTCCGCACCTCCGATTTGCACGGTTGGCTGCGTACGGTGCGAAAGAAAGTCAATCAGAATATTCGTTCAAACATGCACACACAATAAATAAAGACGGCTGGAACTAAACGTGTTTTCAAGATTTCGACGCGACACATTCCGTCGTACGTACGCCGAACCTCCTTCGCACCGTACGTAGCCAATCCTACCAAGAGCGTTTCCTATTGAGCACCTGGGCCGGATTAAGCTAGTGCGGGACCTGTAGCATGTGTTATGAAGGGGCCTAAACAAAAAAAGACAAATATTAAAACACAATTTTTTACTTGCACAGTAAAGTAATTGTATTTTTTCATTTGCTATACAGCCAGATAATACGACAAATCGCTAACCTTAAACACCCAGTCGTTTGTAAAAGTTGAAGTCAGTATAGTCCTATAGTAATAGAGCAAGTGCAGAATCACTGAACCGGAATTGGTATCTTGAAAGCGTTTAGCGCGGGGCCCTTGAAACTGCGGGGCCCGTAGCTACTACACATGCAGCTACTTGTGTAGCTGATTGTGTAGCTACTTGTGCTACTACGATAATCCGGCACTGGGCTTGACTCTAGAGACGGGAGCGGAGGAAGAGGACTCAGAGCCCCCCCCCCCTCGTAAATTTGATGGATCCAGCGCCCCTCCCCAGATATAATCTCTCGCCACCCAGCGCTGTGCGATCGATGAAGTTTGACCCGGTGCGTGACTCCTTTCGACGCCGTCGTTCCCCGTGTCTCCCGGGGGGATGGGGGCCAGACTGCGACAATTGCGTAACACTTTTACTGTCTGTAGAAGCATCGCAAAGGTTGGACCGTTCAATGTTTCACTCTTGAAGCAGGGGGGGTGGATGGTGCGGTTTTTAAACACATTCCTGCGGAGCGAGCTGGTAGGAACGTTGGGTTGCTCGGTCAATGGCCAGGGTCAACGGCGGCGTGGTGTATTCCGCAAATATGCCCGACTGTGAGGGCGGGCACAAGCCGGCGTGAGTAGGTTAAACGTTGAGTTTTATAAGGGACACCACGGGGTGACCAGCCCCTCGCCAACCAGCCCTCCCCACCCAGCCCTCCCCACCCTCCCCACCCAGCCCCTCCCCACCCTCCCCTCTCCACCCAGCCCCATCACGACGGACGAACACAATAATCCCCTGTGGGCTGGTGTAACCAGTCGGTTCCTACCAGTACATTTCCTGCTGTGCTCATGAGCAGCATCAAAGTCAACTGCAGCCGTCTCTCGCCGTCGACAGCCGCCGTCGACTTCTCATCTCCGCGCTCCACGTGATGCAGAGATGTGTGCTCGCGTGAAGCCCCGCACACGCAAGAGCGCATCGCTCCTCCTCGCCGAGAAGGGGACGATCTCAACGAGCGTCATTTGCAAGGCCCGCGGCCCCTGGTGGCCCTTTAGTTCGGCTCCTGACAATACACAACACGTGAAAACACACCACCTTCACCACCTCCACCACCTCCATCACCTCCCATCATCATCATCATGCTGCTGTCCAAACACCCAATGGTTTCAAATGGCGTGGCGGCCCTCGCACTGATGATGTCTTATCGTCGAAGGTGTGCCCCCCCCCCCACTCTGCAAATATATGAAGAACACGGAGTTGATCCACGCTGTGGATGTGCTGGTGAGAGTAGCGATGGTCGTAGTTGTGGTCGTGACGGTCAATGTAGCGTAGCGGCAAGCGCGCTGTGCTACGAACCCGGTGCCCCCCCCCCCCCAGTTTGATTCCCGCACGACGATTATCTGAAGCGGTCTGGGGCCACCCCTAGGTCGACTCGGCCTCAAATAAGTACCTGGTGCTGTCTAAAAAACATCGTCACTTGGGAGACAAAGGCGGCCGGGCGGGGTAATTGTGCAACAGATGCGTGAACTAGCGGAAGGAAAAGGACCCGATTACATCAGCGCTCAAAGCTGCCATATATTTCGACCTTACGGGTGCTATAAAAGAGTCACTGTAACCCAAGCTCGCTCATACACCGCGTGGGTCGCTTTGGGGCCACTGTTTATCTTGGGTGAGATGATGTTGAGTCGGAATATTCCAGCAGGCAGCGGACTCAACGTCCGGGCACTTCGCCCGGCTCCGACGAGTCTCGGGGGCAGCTTGTGGTTTGCAGAGACTCGCAGTCTCGTCACATAGCAAGCAGCAGCAGCAGCCTAACACAGCCAAGTTGCGGGCAAGTGCCGGTGAACGCGCCGGTGAGAGAGAGAGGAGAGGGCGGAGAAGGCGCACGAGGTAGGCGAGAGGTTTGGTCACGTGTCGTCAGCACCACCACGCCGCGGCCGCATTTTGGGCTCCCCGGAGCGGATTTTTGAACATCGGGTAAGGCTGAAATAGGCGGAAACGTGCACACATACACGCAGTTAGACACCCGCATTAAAGGAACAAGATCCCCCCGTGTAGCCTTAATAGACTGCAGGGGCAAGTGCTGTAAGCGAGCACCTATAAAGGCCGGCACGGCACACGAGGGGGTGGGTGGCCAGCACCATGCCCGGCCGCCTTTGTCTCCCCAGTGGTGATGTTTTACACACCGCACCAGGTATTCATTTGTGGTTGAGTCGACCTAGGGGAGGCCCAGGACCGGTTCAAATAATCGTCGGGTTCGTAGCGCAGCGCAGCGCTAACCACTACACTACCGCTCCTAATTAAACACACACACACAGACACGCACACGCATGTCTCGTTTTTTTGCGTCAAAACTAGGACTCACGTGTTACAGAGAGGGCCCGTGGCAATTAAACAGCATTGGTTCAAGCAAAGCCTGGCTCTGCTGTTGATGAGACACTCAATGTCGAAACCGGTTTCGAGTTTTCTTCAATTGAACCGAATGTTGCTGATGCGATGTAGTCGCTGCCAGAAGACGGTCGATGGTGCGTTAATATAAATGCAAGTTGTATTTGGATACATGTTTACAGGAAAGAGCCGTTATTTAAACAATAAACGTGCGCACGTGTACAAATATGGGACCATCGGCACGCCTACACACGCATTTACCACCACCACACACACCTACACTTACCAAAGGACAAAGATCCCCCGTATAGCCTTGGGGGCCAGGTTATGTTAGCGAGCAGCTATGAAGGCCAGAACTGCACACGAGGGGGTGGGTGGCCAGCACCACGTCCGGCCGCCTTTGTCTTCCCAGTGGCGATGTTTTTAAGCATAGTACCGGGTACTCATTTGAGGCTGAGTCGACCTAGGGGAGGCCCAGGACCGGTTCAGATAACCGTCATCGGTGTTGGCAGTGAGCGCTAGCCGCTACACTACCGCTCCCCCACTACATCCACCACCACAAACACACACCTACACATTTACCACCACCACAAACACACACCTACACATTTACCACCACCACAAACACACACCTACACATTCACCACCACCACAAACACACACCTACACATTCACCACCACCACAAACACACACCTACACATTCACCACCACCACAAACACACACCTACACATTCACCACCACCACAAACACACACCTACACATTCACCACCACCACAAACACACACCTACACATTCACCACCACCACAAACACACACCTACACATTCACCACCACCACAAACACACACCTACACATTCACCACCACCACAAACACACACCTACACATTCACCATCACCACAAACACACACCTACACATTCACCACCACCACAAACACACACCTACACATTCACCACCACCACAAACACACACCTACACATTCACCACCACCACAAACACACACCTACACATTCACCATCACCACAAACACACACCTACACATTCACCACCACCACAAACACACACCTACACATTCACCACCACCACAAACACACACCTACACATTCACCACCACCACAAACACACCCCTACACATTCACCACCACCACAAACACACCCCTACACATTCACCACCACCACAAACACACCCCTACCTACACGCTGCACACGCCCCCAGTGACGCTGCCGTGAATCAGTGGGGCCTGGCCCTTCCCCGGAGGTGCTGCTGCTGCTGGTGGTCACTCAGACTGCGAGACGTGAGAGTTCGCTGCTAGTGAGTAGTGGCGAGAAAGCAGTGGGTGGTGGTGGTGCTGGTGGTCACTCAGACTGCGAGACGTGAGAGTTCGCTGCTAGTGAGTAGTGGCGAGAAAGCAGTGGGTGGTGGTGCTGGTGGTCACTCAGACTGCGAGATGTGAGAGTTCGCTGCTAGTGAGTAGTGGCGAGAAAGCAGTGGGTGGTGGTGGTGCTGGTGGTCACTCAGACTGCGAGACGTGAGAGTTCGCTGCTAGTGAGTAGTGGCGAGAAAGCAGTGGGTGGTGGTGGTGCTGGTGGTCACTCAGACTGCGAGACGTGAGAGTTCGCTGCTACTGAGTAGTGGCGAGAAAGCAGTGGGTGGTGGTGCTGGTGGTCACTCAGACTGCGAGACGTAGAAGTTCGCTGCTAGTGAGTAGTGGCTAGAAAGCAGTGGGTGGTGGTGCTGGTGGTCACTCAGACTGCGAGACGTGAGAGTTCGCTGCTAGTGAGTAGTGGCGAGAAAGCAGTGGGTGCTGGTGCTGGTGGTCACTCAGACTGCGAGACGTGAGAGTTCGCTGCTAGTGAGTAGTGGCGAGAAAGCAGTGGGTAGTGGTGCTGGTGGGTGGATTCATGGTGAGAGGTGTGGTGGTGGTGGTGAGCGACGCGGCGGTGAGCGGCGATGGCTGGTGAGCATACAATCACTCCGGGTTTGTTGTTTTTAAACGCAACGTGCTTTGCGAGTATGTGGCGGGGCGTGTGGCGGTTTTGGCAACTTATCTGGTGAACCCCGGCCACCCGAGTTCGATTCCCGCCCCCCCCCCCCAAAAAAAAACCCATCAGTCGTGGGCCTCCCCTAGGTCGGCTCGGCCTCAAATGGGTCAACACAGCCGCCACAAAGGCGGTCCGGCCAGGCGTGACACTGGCTGCCGTTTCGGCCTCCATTCAGGTGCTCGCAAACAGCGCTTGCCCCAACAAGTGCTGGGGCAAGTGGTGTTTGCTATACAGGGCGGTGGTGGGTGGTCTTTGTGTAGCTGCACAAGTAGCTTACACAAGTAGCTACACGTGCTACGGACACCGCGGTTTCAAGGGCCCCGCGCTAAACGCTTTCAAGCTATCAATCCCGGTTCAGTGATTCTGCACTTGCTCTATTACTATAGTACTATACCGCCTTCAATTTTTTTTTATAAACGACCGGGTGCTTAAGGTTAGCGATTTGTCGCATTATCTGTCTGTATAGCAAATAAAAAAAAAACACAATTACTTTACAATGCAAGTTAACAATTTTAAGTTTAATATTTACGTGTTTTTATTTTATTTAGGGCCCCTTTAAAACATATGCTACAGGGCCCCCCACTAGCTTCATCCGGCACTGTGTATCGAGAGCGTGCATGTGCGCGTGTAGTGTAATTGCATGCGGGCATTCGCATGCTGTGAAGCTGGAAGGACGGACACTGTCACAGTTGATTAACCTCGCTTTACTTGATAAGCCGTGCGCCTTATAAGGCGCGCGCCGTATAAGGGCTGATTGTGGAAATGAATTCGTAGCCCACAGGCATAGCATACTCGCTACGCCCCGTTGTTAACACTGTAGAGAATTCGCTGCTGTGGCACGCGAGTGTGTGTCTAAGTCTGTGTGTGTCTAAGTCTGTGTGTGTGTAAGTCTGTGTGTGTGTGTAAGTCTGTGTGTGTGTAAGTCTGTGTGTGTGTAAGTCTGTGTGTGTGTAAGTCTGTGTGTGTGTGTAAGTCTGTGTGTGTGTAAGTCTGTGTGTGTGTAAGTCTGTGTGTGTGTAAGTCTGTGTGTGTGTAAGTCTGTGTGTGTGTAAGTCTGTGTGTGTGTAAGTCTGTGTGTGTGTGTAAGTCTGTGTGTGTGTAAGTCTGTGTGTGTGTGTGTAAGTCTGTGCATGTGTGTAAGTCTGTGCGTGTGTGTAAGTCTGCGTGTGTGTGTAAGTCTGTGTGTGTGTGCAAGTCTGTGCGTGTGTATGCGTGGTGAGCGGTGGTGTAATGGTTAGCGCTATGCTGTGCTACGCTGCGCTATGAACCCAGCGACCCGAGTTTTATTCCCGCTCGCGGCCAACACCGGTGACGATTATCCGAACCGGTCATGGGGCCTCCCTCGCTAACAGCACTTGCCCCCACGGTATGTGAAGGCTATACGGGGGATCTTTGCCTTTGTGTGAAGAGCCGTGGCGCCAGGGAGTTGGCTCACTGTGCTATGAGCCCGCAAAATTGAGTTCAGTCGCCTCGGCTAACATCAGTGTCGCGTGATACCCGCTCCGGTTCTGAGTCGACTCAGCATGAAGCGAGTACCTGGGTTCGGGGTGTAAACATCAACACTGGGGGGAGACAAAGGCGGCCGAGCGTGGCGCTGACTACACCACCCCCTCGTGCGCCGTACGAACCTTAATAGGTGCTCGCTAACAGTGCCAAGAGTCGAGGGGGTCGTTGGTTTGAGTCCGTGTTGTACCTCACTCCTCTATTGCCCCATATTTCCTGCAGGGTTACAGAGCGGAGGGTGGTGATGGCGACGATGGTGGCTCTGTTTGGAGACAAATAGCCTATCCCGGTGGCGAACATTCCACATTCCCATGACGGGAATGCGTATAGACTTTGGATGAGAACTTCACCGTCTTTCGTTCAACACGGCCCTGTAGAGCTGAACACGTCCACATATAAAAACATCAACAACAACCGCCATTCGCCACTAAGTGGCGGTGACGTCACCACGACGCTTGTGCCACACATAAAAACACGCGCATACAGGTGCGCTGCCTACCAGGTACGCACACCCACGCGAATACCCGCGTGCACAAGAGACGAAGATCCCCCGTGGAGCCTTAACAGACTGTTGGGGGCAAGTGCCGTCAGCGAGCAGCGCCGTTAAAGCACAGGAGGAGGGGGTTGGGGTTGGCCCAGCGAGCGCCACGCCACGCCACGCCACAACCCCACGCACGCACGCGCGCTGTGACTCCCTCCGTGCGTCTCTTCCAAGCTTCCCCTTTGCCGGAGCAACTCGCGGCCACACGACGGGCCAAGCATGCATCAAAACTCAAGTACCACCGCCATCGCCGCCACCGCCGGCACCGCGTCGAGCTCGCAGCTCGCCAATCTCGCGGACTTCAAGTCCACGTACCTGCCCGCGACCTACAGCTTCGTGTTCTGCGTGGGCCTTCTCACGAACGTGGCCGCCATCTGGACCTGCTGCCGCCGCGCCGCCAGGCCCTGGAACGGCCTCACGGTCTACACCTTCAACCTGGCGCTGGCCGACCTCCTGTACGTGACATCGCTGCCGCCCTTCGTCCACTACTACACGCACGGCTCCGCGTGGATCTTCGGCGACTGGCTGTGCCGCGCGGGCCGCTTCGTCTTCCACGTGAACCTCGGCTGCAGCGCGCTGTTCCTCACGTGCATCAGCGCGCACAGGTACGCCGGCATCGTGCACCCGCTCTGGTCCAGGGGCCGGCTGCGGCCCGGCACCGCCAGGGCGGTGAGCGCGGCGGTGTGGGCCCTGGTGGCGATCCTCCTGCTGCCCACGTTCCACTTTGTTCGAGAGGGACCCGCGGGAGACGACGGGGCGGCGACGGCGGCGGCGGTGGGCGACCTCGTCAAGTGCTACGACAGCGCGAGCGACGCCGACCTGCTCGTCTACCTGCCCTACAGCGTGGCGCTGTCGGTGGTCACCTTCGCCGTGCCATTCGCCGTCACCTTCGCCTGCTACGGCTTCGTCGCCTCGACGCTGCTCGGCAACCGCAGCGTGGGCGCCGGCGTGCGGCGCCGCTCCCTCGCGCTCGTCGCCGTCGTCCTCCTCCTCTTCTCTGTCAGCTTCCTGCCCTACCACGTGACGCGCAACCTCAACCTGGCCTCGCGCCTCTACCTGCGCCGGGCGGACGCCGCCGCCAACCGCCGCATCTACGCCGCCTACCAGGCGTGCCGGGGCCTGGCCAGCCTCAACAGCTGCTTCAACCCCATCGTCTACTTCCTGGCCAGGGAAGACGTGCGCTCGTCCATCAGGCGCGGTGCCATCCGGGTCGCCACGCTGCCCCGCGGGACGCCCCTGTTGGGCAGGAAGGCGGTGGCCGTGGTCCTCGAGGGTGGTGTCGATGACAAGGACAAGGAGGTGGAGGAGGAGGAGTGCTCCTTCGTGTAAGGGGGGGAAGGTGGGAGGGGGGCGGGCCCTTCGTGGATGAGGGCCGCCCGGTCTCTTGCGGCCGAGTGGTCACGGCAGTGATACGCTGATGGCGCACGCCAGCAGACGCCGAGAATCCCATTCGACTCTACGCTCACGCGTGGCGGCAATGTGGTTCGGGTGCTCAGTGGTCAAGGACGTTCGAAAGCTCGATGCCAATGTCAAGGCCTGCTGCTGCTGGTCACGATGGGAGAGGGCTTCAGCAGAGAGAGGAGTCCGCGTCGTTTTGCTTGATCCTCCGTTGAAGGAGTGTCGAGTAGACGGTGGTTTACTGTACGGTCCACAGTTTGGGTGACATGCCCACGATCGAACGTCTGTGGCTTGTTTCTTCAATCTTCTGTTCAGGAAGGAGACGTGCACAGTGGTCTGTTGCTGATGTTCTGATGCGGATGATGGTTCCACCACCGGTGTCTTCGAGGTGGAATGTCAAAGCCAGGAGGTGCGATGATATTGAGGTCTCGAAGGAAGAGGTGTTCGTTGCGAGTGTCCGCGTTGTTACGCTCCGTTCGCCAGCGGTCTTCCCGATCTGCGTGGGACTCGAGGATGGCGACAGCGGCTTCTGCGCGATCACAGAAGGGTCAACGGGGACTTGTGTCGGTGAGGGGACAGTGTCGAGGACTTGGTTGATGGGTAGGTCAGTTTAACACGTAGGCTTTCGCAACCGATATCCATAATGGAGGTTTTTGGGTTTTCTCGCGTAAAATTCATGTGTCGTTAAACCCGCCACCACCCGACACAGCTAATTAGTAAGGTTTGGTACGCAAACAGAGCATGCCAATTCGTTATTAGTACAGCACACCAGTTGTGTGTTGGAGAGTGAACCCACAACATTTACAATCTGAGTACGACGTTTCGCCAAATCTGGCTGCGGCTTGATGAGGCTATTTGTAGTTACTGGCGAAACGTCGTACTCGAATTGTAAATGTTGTGGGTTCACTCTCCAACACAACCGGCGTGCTGTACTAGTGACGAATTGGCCACGTTCTGTTCACGTGACAACCCTTACTAGTTGGCTGTGTCGGCTGGTGGCGGGTTTAATGACACATTTATATATTTACGCGATCTAACACACAAACACCTCTTATGGATGATGGCCTAGGGGTGGTTGTCTCTGGCAAGAGAGCGGCGCAATACATCTCACGAGCAGACAGCACAGGATCCTAAACGTTTTCGGTCAAGAAGCGCGAGACTGACAATGTTTATACTGGTAGGAACCACCTTGTTCCACCAACCCACAGGGGATTATTGTGTCCGTCCGTCGTGCATCCAAAAATGGGAGGGGTGGGGCTGGGTGGAGAGGGGAGGGTGGGGAGGGGCTGGGTGGGGAGGGTGGGGAGGGTGGGGAGGGGCTGGGTGGAGAGGGTGGGGACGGGCTGGGTGGGGAGGGTGGGGCTGGGTGGGGGGTGGGAGGGGTGGGGCTGGGTGGGGAGGGGCTGGTCACCCCGTGGTGCCCTTATAAAACTCAACGTTTAACCTACTCACGCCGGCTTGTGCCCGCCCTCACAGTCGGCCATATTTGCGGAATACACCACGCCGCCGTTGACCCTGGCCATTGACCGAGCAACCCAACGTTCCTACCAGCTCCCTCCGCAGGAATGTGTTAACTGTCGACACCCTGACGATCGACCATTGCCACACTGACTACAACTGGAACTTTAAAATCTACGCCGCTGTCACAACGCTGCGTGAGCTGCGCCGATCGAAAGTCGAGCCAAACCTCCGGCCGATCGCCGATGACCTGGAAGGCGAGGGGCTCGTAACGGCGTCCAACGGCTGAGATCCAGAACTCGGCAGCCTTGGAAGCACGCGGCACAACATTCCACGTGACGCAGACGTCAGCATCGAATCCGCTCGGACAAACTCGTGGGCTTCAAGCAACGAGCTCAACTAATATCTGATCAGAGACCCTCACCGCCACCGCCGCCACCACCACCACACTGGCCGGCTTCGCCAACACACAGCTCATCAGCGAGCCCACCACCACCGCTCCACGGAAGCAATGGGCAGCGTTTAAAGCCAGTTTTCCGCACACATTACGGAAGATTAAGGCACAAGTGGAGAATAAAATAATCAAATACTCTCTCCGTGCTGTGTGCGACAGCAGCTGTGAACAGCCACATCGCCAACTGCAATTCGCCAATTTTCAGACGAAGCAATCGAATGGCTAAATTATTTAGAAGTGAATCTCTAAATCAGTTACTACTCTTCGTTGGCCATGCGTAATCCTGACCAATAGAAAGGAAACTATATTTTTCACCAGTTAAATCCCACTGAGCTATGTAGCTCTTTATCAGAAACGAACTGGCCGTGAAGGACATCTCAACGAAGTGGCTCGTCATCGTGTCGAGATGTCGAGCAGCCAAACACTCTGAACGCGTGGCGTCGATTCTAAATGTGGCGGGGAAAAAACCGGAGCACCCGGAGAAAACTCCACGCGACCACGGGGGGAGAGAGACACGCAAACTACAAATTCGCAAGCGGGATTGAACCCACTACCTCCTGTATACCAGGCAAGGTAGTTACCATGTCGCCAACGTGGTGCCCCGATAGAATAGAATACAACGGTAACCCTCGTTATACGGCGAGTGCGTTGGACCATGTTTTACCTTGCGGAGCGTATTGTATGCATGCATGTATGCAGAACTTCTTCTACACCGTATGTCGTCAACTGTGCTAGTATCGCCGAGGAGTGGTTTGTATGCCAATGCTGTTTTATAGTTTGAAATATATATTTTACAAACAAATCAACTTGATTTGTCTTGCCAACGCAATCCGCTCGCCACAAAACTGTTCCATGCTACGAGGCGTGACCTGGTGATGCGTGGTGTGCAACCTCCGCCCGATCTAGTCGGATTTCGCAAGCTAAGCAGCTCGGAGCCTGGTCAGTATATGTGCATGCATGTTGAACTTCTTTCGCACCAGACGTTGCCAACCGGAGGTGCGAGGAATGACAACGAGCTTGCACACAAAAATCAGTTTAAAAGAAATCCGTTTTCAACGCAGATGCAAAAGTGCCACAGCTCCAGTGGCTTCCCAATATCGGAAGGAAGAGAGCGTTCCAGACGGCCGCAGACGCGCAATCCGAAAGAGCGCGATGCGGTGACCGCCGTCTTTGTGCGATGGCTCAGCCAAGAAGCCGCCGCTGCTGCTGCTGCTGCGAGGATGAGCGGAGTTCGCGTGACGGTTCATGCAACTTGACGAGATTAGCGAGCTATTGGTGGTTCTTTTGTGGACTTTGCGTGCAACGAGTGCCACCTCGCAACGGATTCGTTCGGCAAGCGGAATGCGGCTTCGCGAACACCGGACGGACACGGTCGGATCTTGCCGCATCCGTCACGGCACGTGGCAGACGATGTTGTACACGCGGCAGCTTGGTCATAGTACGTGGATGAACACCAACACCAACCAGAGGTCGCAACCAGGTACCCGATACCCGTATCCTACCCGATACCCGGCTACCCGTACCCGGCCAGGTACGGGTACGGGTACCCGTTTGCGACCCTGGTGCGGCCGGGTACAGGTACGGGTAGGCCGTGAGTCACTGGTGAGTAACCGTTTGTCACTCATTTCGGGTAGGATACGGGTACGGGTAGGGAACAGGTACCCGTACCCGGCCGGGTACGGGTACCCATTTGCGACTCTGGTGCGGCCGGGTACGGGTACGGGTAAGGAATCAAAACCCGTTTGCGACCTCTGCCACCAACCAATCACCACCACCATCACCACCACCGGGGCTTGCCAGGTGTTGTAGGCGTGGGACTGCTACGAGGTGTGGCCAGAAGGTGGCATTGCGGTGCTGGGTTTGTTTCCGGGATCTCCGCTTTTCCTTCCAGACGAAGCCAGAGACCGTCGCTACTCAAATGGAATTCCTGGAGGATGGGGGACGGACGGCATTCCACTCCCCCCCCCCCTTCGCCCCACCCTCATCGTCAGTATGTCTCGAAACGTCGTACACTCAGTTTGTAAATGTTGTGGATTTGCTCTCCAACACACCCGTTCAGTGCTGTACCAGTAACGAATTGGCCACGTTCTGTTTACGTGACAAACCTTACTAGTTGGCTGTGTCGGGTGGTGGCGGGTTTAACGACACATTTATATATGTTTCTATGTTATGGATGTCTCGAGCTACGGTTCTGATCAGCTGCATTCATAGTCCCGAGTCATCGACCACGGTCGAAGTTGTCCATTACAACTTTTTAGTCAATGAATCGACTTCAAGAGTCGAATCTTCCCAGCTGCAATTGCACGGTAGGCGTAAAAAAACCAACAACACCCAATTGTTCTTCCTGGTTCTTTCGGTAAAGTCACGTAGAAGGGAAATAATAAAATAATAAAAATAAAACTTAATAAAATAATTCGTGAGAATTCGTGAGAATTATTTTATTATGTTTTATTTTTATTATTTTATTATTTCCCTTCTACGTGACTTTACCGAAAGAACCAAGAAGATGAATCCCTGCAGTCACGAAAGCTTTAAATCGAAACACCCAATTGATTAATGCACGCATCGTTATCATTCTGTTTAGGCTTTCATCAGCCACATGAGCACACGATGATGATGATGACGATGGGCATGGCAGTGACTTGATTCTCAGCTGTGACCGCATGAAAACACCCCGATACAAATCGGTTCGCCGCACACATCCAGGCGCGGCAAGCGAAAACAACGGATTGGTGTCGCGCGGAGGCTTTATAGTGCAGTGTCTGTGTTGACATAAGTATTATACCCGCACGTGTTATGTTGACAATATATTGTATACCTGACGGGATATTGATATGAATACGGGCAGGAACACGTGGAACTTTAGCGAGGATTTCATGATGAGGAGCAGAGAGATTCTTATCAGTAAACTACAGAGTCAGTAGTGTCTACTATAGAGTTAGTAGTATCTACTATAGAGTTAGTAGTATTTACTATAGAGTCAGTAGTATCTACTATAGAGTTAGTAGTATATACTATAGAGTCAGTAGTATCTACTATAGAGTTAGTAGTATCGACTATAAAGTCAGTAGTATCTACTATAGAGTTAGTAGTATCTACTATAGAGTTAGTAGTATCCACTATAGAGTTAGTAGTATGTACTATAGAGTTAGTAGTGTCAACTATAGAGTTAGTAGTATGTACTATAGAGTTAGTAGTATCTACTATAGAGTCAGTAGTATCTACTATAGAGTTAGTAGTATCTACTATAGAGTTAGTAGTATATACTATAGAGTCAGTAGTATCTACTATAGAGTTAGTAGTATTTACTATAGAGTTAGTAGTATCTACTATAGAGTTAGTAGTATCTACTATAGAGTTAGTAGTATCTACTATAGAGTTAGTAGTGTCTACTATAGAGTCAGTAGTGTCTACTATAGAGTTAGTAGTATCTACTATAGAGTTAGTAGTATCCACTATAGAGTTAGTATTATCTACTATAGAGTTAGTAGTATCTACTATAGAGTCAGTAGTGTCTACTATAGAGTTAGTAGTATCTACTATAGAGTTAGTAGTATCTACTATAGAGTTAGTAGTATCTACTATAGAGTTAGTAGTATCCACTGACTACCACCCCTATTGTATGTAGGATGTGTAGTAGATACTACTGACTCCACAATAGTCAGTAGTATCTACTATAGAGTTAGTAGTATCGACTATAGAGTCAGTAGTATCTACTATAGAGTTAGTAGTATCTACTATAGAGTTAGTAGTATCTACTATAGAGTTAGTAGTATCTACTGACTACCGCCTCTATTGTATGTAGGCTGTGTAGTAGATACTACTGACTCCACATTAGTCAGTAGTAT